CCCAACCCCAAATCACCAATTTGATATGACTTTGCTTTTACTGTTTTAGTTTTTTTTTAAGTAGTTGTTGTTGTCTTTGTTTTAAATCAGAAATGTTAGTGTGCCAAAATTTTTAAAAATGCACCAAAAACTAAACCCTACACTCATCAATCTAAACTCTACACCCTAAACCCTAACCCCACATTATAAACCCGCCCCTAACCCGTACTCACTAACCCCACATTATAAACCCCGCCCCTAAACGGTACCCACTAACCCACCCTCCTTTATTACCTTCATCTTCTTCAATTTTCGATTCTTCTGATTTTTTTGTCTTCTCTGCTTCTTCCTTATTTTATTCTGGCTTTTCTTCTTATTTTTCAACTATTTCATCTTGTTCTTATGCATCGTTTTGTAATTTTTCCTTCACTTCTTATTCCTTTTCTTCTTTTTCGACTTCATCATCATCGACTTATCCATTTTCTTCTTTTTCGTTTTATTGTGTCTTCTTCATTGTATTCTCCAACTATTTCTTCATTGACTATTCTTCTTATTTTTCTTTCTCTTAATTGTCTTCCCATTCTTCTTCCAATTTTTTATTCCTCCTGTGCTTCACTTTCATTGTTCATCGGCTTCGTTTTTGACTGAAAAATAAACTTTATATTCCGATGTATCAAATCTATTATGTCATTTGTCACATGGTATTTTTTGGGTAAAATATTAAATTTTAATTCTTTCACATAATTACTGATGTTGCATTTTTACCAATTTTCACCTATGCTTTCTCATAGTTTTCTTTTAGGTTTTTAGCAAAAAAAAATCATCAAACTAAATTTATTTTGCAAATTAAACTCTCAATTATAAACCATGTAAGTCCATTCTAAGTCAAAAGTCACCGTAATATAGGAATTTTGTATATTTGTGATGAAATTTAATATAGTTTTGTAGGCTTGTGATGATCGATGACTTTGTTTCTCCAGGAAAAAAAGATTTTTAAAGATTGTCCGGTTGCACTGGAAATTAACAGGGGATTTCTCAAAGCTGTTTTAAGCAGTGCATGTTAATAAGGGAGAGAGGAGCAGTTTCAGTTTCGTTTTCAAGCCTTTCGTTCTGTAAGAGATCAAATGAGGTTATAAAGTAATATTTAGAACTCTTGCTAATTTTAGAGGGATTTGTCTCACAGAAGATGTTAAGTATTATGCAACAACGACCGAAGATCACTTTGTCAAAAGCAAAGCCTCAGTTACCACTATAAATGTCTCATTGCCTCAAGATCATGGGCCTAATTGATAGTGGCTGTAACTTTTAATTTTTTACTGTAGAAATTTGACTGTAGATATTTTTGCTGTAAGATTTTGTCTGTGGATTTTTGACTGTGAATTTTTTCAAAAGGAAAACATGATTGGTAAAATATCATATATCTGTAGGTTAACAATTTTATATCTAATTAAAATTTGATAACTACTAATAAATATGAAAATAAATAATAAAATATAAATAATTGGTGTTAAAGCACCATGCAAATTTTAAGAAAATAATAAGTATCTAAAATAATTATGCTAAAAATCTATTCACGTAGGTGATTTTATATGCATGACTTGCATGTGTTACAGAAATTTTTAAAATAATAAGAATATGGCTAAGAAGAGATGGTGGAAGACAACCATCATAATAATTAAAAGTAAATATTTACAGAATACATAAAAAGAGAAAGAGAAGAAAGACCTTAATATTTGTCTTTTCCTTCTTCTGGGTTTTGTGCCGATAGGTGCAAAAGGTTCGAAGGCGTGACCTACTTTATAAGTATTGAATTAGGGTTTTCTTCATAATTATCAACTATTTTTAATTAGTTTTAGAAAGGAAAAAAATTGTTTTTAAAGTGGAGAGTACATAAAATTGGGCTCTAGGTTTTTTGGCTTTCTACAGCAAAAAAAAAGACGAAAAGCAAAAATGTGTTGTAGACTTTAAAAAAAAATATAAAGCATGATTGGTATGTAGAAGTGCTGTACATTTTAATTTTTGCTGTGGACAGCTTCTACAGCTCTCCCAATCAAGCCCCATATATGTAGCTTAAAATTGTGGATTGCAGTATTTACTCTATTCATTTGATGATTGCTTAGCTGTCATGGTGCTATTCTGATGGGATTGCTGTATTTGCTCGTGGGCTGATGCTAAGCTGCTGAAACATATCCTCGTTAAGTGACGTCTTTTGATATGTCAGGAACCATAGCGCGCAAAATCAACTATTACTTCTCTAGGAGAATCGAGCGGTGGATAAGGATCAAGAAATACAATAGCTGAATTAGGAGAAACATTTACAGCTTTTTAAAGAGTGAATTAAACAAAGTCTTAGCTTATTTAGCGTCTAATGGATAAAAGGTGTTTGCAATATGATGATAGGATTTGTGTGTGTGTGAAATGAGATGATAAGAGATGAAGTGGAATGCAACAGTGCTATATGAGATGAGGTGGTAAGATGCAAACACAAACACAGTCAACAATTCCCTTTAACCATTATAGTCACTAGGGCTAAGCCCGCACGATGCGCGGGTTATGAATATTACAAAGTTTTGTTAATTGTCATTTGAATTTTCTAAATATTTTGTCTCTTATATTTTTCATATATGTTAAGGCACAGTCGAAATAGCAATAGAAATATATATTACTTCTTATTTCCTCTAAAATAAAATTCCTTAAAACGTTTTCCATGTGCCCCAAATTAATTGTGGCTAGCTGCAACACATTGAAAATTTTATACCTTAAATTTAAAAAGTAAATCAAAATTTTAGACTTAAACCATAAACCATAAATCGTTAACCATAACCCTTATTCCAAATAAAAACATTAAATCAGAATTAACAAAAGAATATTTAAAAACCATTCCAGACCCTTATATCTAAACTCTTAAATCTAACCCTTACATAAAAAAAAAGAAAAATAACAGTTATAAAAATCATACATTTTTATACGATTACATATTTTCTAGAATGATTATATTTTGGTAACACTTATAACAAATTTTAAATAAAATCATATCATAAATCTTAAATTCTAAACCCTAAACACAATTAATGATTATATATATATATATATATCTAAATTTCATAATCTACACTGATAAATAATTTCAGAAGTATTCAAATCTTATGGTTTGAGATTTTAGTTTTAGAATTTGAGATTTTGGATTAGGGATTTGGGGTTTAGGGTTTGTGTTTTCGAAAATTAGATTTGCATACATTTGAAATTATTTATTAGTGTAGATTATGAATGTAATATAATGATGTACTTACTTTTCCTCGACTTTCCTCTCGCCCTTAATCCGCGAGTTGTAATTGTTTCTCCGCTCCGGTTGTTCAGTTCTGTATGATTAAAATGATCAATTTATGTTTGATGTACAAAATAAACTTACCTTGTATTTGTCTTTCCTTTTCTTTTCCTCTTTAATACATCGAATCTGGTTTTCCTACCTAACCGTGCTGCTTCTGTTTTCAAATGTGAAGAATAATAGTAAGTCAGCACTGTATACAAATGACCTATGTAATATTTGTTCTTGATTTTTAGCGTTGTATTTTATGTATTTGAATTTGTACCTTGTCTGTCAAGAATTTAAGATACGTCCTTTTGCTTTCGTCAATGCAAGCGTATTCATTTGCTGCGGTTCGGTCTTCCAACGGCTCACCTGTGAATACGCAAAACTATAGCTATGTTTGCTGTTCGTTGCATGAAAAGAATATAAATTTCTTCACACGTCTACATTACATGCTAACGAACACTATATTTGTTCATGCAATAAGTTATGCTATAAATCCCTGAAAATTATATTTATATGCATGCAAAAGTACTCGAACTTGATATTTAACAACAAACTTGATTTCCGTGATTTCATGATTGCTTTTCTTTTTGTTCGGTTGATTCTTGATCTTTCTCTGTCGTCATCCATCATTTTTCGTTTCCGTGTCTGTCTCGATGATGAGTTTCAGAAGACGATCTTCACACCTCACCGTTTCGGTTGGTTGCCGCAAACGGTTTCACTTATTTCGAAATCTCAAAAGTATCTATATCGAGAAAGTTATGGTATGATCAGGTTAGATGAAGTATTCTTACATCAATAGTTCTATAAGATGAAGGCAGTAAGAATGTAAGATTATACAGTCGTGGTGATAGGAGTTATCACATAAATATTCCCGGAGACGTACCTTAAAAAGTGTTGATGCTGCAAGTTCGATCTCGAGTCTTTTAAGGTTACGGCTTAATCCTTCTCAAATGTAAAACGAATTCGCTTGTACGTAAGTGTTCAGTGTTCACCAAAGGATCTCTACAAACGTGAACGATAGAGTAGTCTTTAGAAATTGTTGGTTACCAATATTTATTTTTAAAGTTAAGTATTGCAAGTGATTATGGGTCCATTTGTCTTCATCGGTTATACAGTATTTCTTTTTTCTTGACTAATCTAATAGAATTAAAGGTTAAAGTGTTGTCATTTAATCTTAGTAACGTATAATGGAACGTCATTATTAGAAAAGGACGAAACGGGAAGTGTCTTCTAATGTGATTCTTTTATGGAGTAAAGTTACATATTCATAGATGGTGACGCCTTAATAAAGGTCGAAATCGAGCAATCAATATTATTTTGAATTGTCTTCTAACAAAATCCGTCCCTTTGACGTCTCGTGTATTCGTTACGTATTAATATTTTTCATTTAAAACCAGTTTAATTAATAGATTCCCTGCGGTGAGCTCCACCGTAAGTATCCGATTCTCTCTACTGTCTCTAGTAGTATTCTCTAGCCTCAAACCACTGCCGGTTATTTCCGAGATTGGTTTCCAAATGCAACAATCCTAATTTCACAATCTAAATGAGACCGGGACTGGTTATCTCCCAGTTGATATCTTCTTCTTCGTCGTCGTCTTGAGCTATGGTACGAAACTTGATTCAGCAAGAAGATCGAGCAAAAATATAGAGAGACCAAAAAAATATCAATTCGGAGAAAACTATATGTGATTCGTTCAGACAAGAAGCGATGTCGAGGGGATCTCGGCTCCTCCTCAGTCGCGCTCATTTTCTTACCGTCCTCACTCCGATCATCATCATCGACATCTTCATCATCACATTTTACACAAGTTCATCAGAAGCAACTCAATCCGTACACCGATCAGTATCAATGCCTTCCTCTCCGATCCATCTCCATCTCCAATTGGCTCCAAGTCAACTCGCGCGTCCTCTTCTTCTCCACGAAGATCGTCGTTGTAGATGGGGTTTGCAATAATAGTGACTGCGGCGGTGCGAAGGCGCGCCGAAGATGGGGACCAAAATCGTGTCGATTCATTAGAGATGAAGTCCCTCGACCGGATCTGACTCGCGGCCGTATCGGTCTGAAACAGAGATCATCTCCACCGGCGAAAAAAGCAAACTGATCTTCGGCCCAGGAGGCATCATCGTCGTTACCTTTGGAGATGGGGTTCGCAATAATATCGGCTGCAGCTGCGGCGGTGCGAAGGGTAGCCGAAGCTCGGGATTGAAATCGCGGGTCGATTCAATCAAGCATCCGGCGCCGAGGAACTTGAGTGAGGCAATTTTTGAGTGTTTGAGGGTTATTCAGTAAAGAAACTAATGTGTAAGGACTGTGTATGAAATATTTTGCCTAATTTTGTTAATAATTTAGAAAATGAAGATTTATTTTTTAAAAGGGGCGTGCCACGTGGCGGACTCTAGAGAGAAGTTATTCTCTCATTATATATAAGATTATAGCATAAAGGGTATCAATCCAAAATAGGAGAAATGTTACTCTATGAGAATATAAAACAACAAGGAAGTCAAACAAGCAGTAAATGATATGGGGTAACACTAAGAGCATCTCCAACCCCATGCTAAATATGACATATATGCTATTTTGCCATAATTTTTGCTCCAACCCAATTGCATATGCTATTGCAAAATAGCATCATGCTATTTTTGCTTCTATATTTGGCATGAGATTATGCAATATGCTATTTTGCCATTGAACTTTTTTATTTATAAAATAGTCCTTCAATTTGTAATTACTTTTAATTTAACAGTTTAATTATATTGATTATGATTTATTTAAATAAATAAACAATACTCATAACTTTTTCAAAATATAAATAATATTTATTTCATAGAAATATAAAAACATAACCATAATAAACTTAAAATTTTATTTTTAAAAATACTGAAATTCAAAAAACATAAAACAATAGGTTAAAATCTTTGTTTTCTATAATTTTTATGTAATATGATGTATTTTGTTTTAATATTATAATAATAAAAAAATATAATTCTGGTTGTTTTTGCAAAAAAAGAAAAACAAATGATTCACTTTGTAAAATTTGAAGAAATCAAGTAGTTTTAACAATTAATAATAAGTTGGAAAAAAATTATAGCATGATATATGGCATGAGGGGTTGGAGAGAAACCCAATGCTATTGCTATATTTTTGCCATTTGCAATAACATATGGCATGAGGGGTTGGAGATGGTCTAACAACCTAATGAAGCAGTAATGCAATGCAATAAGTAAATAAAGCAGTAGAGCAACAGCTCGACCAAGACTCGAGTCGAGGGAACAGAGTACCAGCTCGATCGAGTTTAGGGTCGAGTTGAAGTAAAAAGCAATAAAGGCAGCACTTTAACAAGCTAATGCGAGAATTAGGGTTCAAGACAGGGTTTTGCAATCAGGAAGCTACACTTAATCGATCTGCTCTTAAAACTCCTTGTATCAAGGCTTCTCTTGATATCCCGACTCCGGGGGTTAGCCAGTGAGAGTCAACCTTGGAGGCCATAGGATCATTGCCCAAACTAATCCATCCAACCCCTTAGACCTCATTTCTAGAGCAAGAGATATTGGAGCTCTTAGTGGATCTTTTCCAGCGATTTCCATCACTTCCATGTGGAGAATCGCCTAAGGACTTACAAGCCAGGGGTAGTGGTCATGTAGCCTTAAGATCTATCCAAAAGAGAGAGAATCTAGATTAAGACCATAAGCAAGAAGGATTAAGCATATGAAACCTCTAATCTATCCCATCTCAAACCCTAATGGGTAACTACTCACTACACATGAATGTAAACACAAGCAAATGCAATAAAAGAGACATCATAAGAAAGAGGAGATGAAATAAACAACTTTTATTGAAATAAGCAAGTGCAAATACAAAGAGATTATCCAGGATCTAGGATTCAAGAAGCAAGAGCTTCAAGAACACAAAGATGGGATTAGAGCTCTCAAAAAGTAAAAGACAATAATTAAAAGAAACTAAAACAAAAAGTAATCTAAAGCTTGGTTTTTTTCGTGGCTTTTAGCCTTTAAATACAAGAGGATTAGGTTTAGGGTCAAAGGAAAGTCAAGGGGGAAGCAACATTTTTCGGGTTTGACTTTGACTTCTCAGCTCGATCGAGTTGAAGCTTGGCCGGTCGAGTTGAGGAACTCGACCGGTTGGTCGAGTAGGTGGTCGAGCTGGTCTTCAAGATGGCTTCTCCTTCTTCCTTTGCGTATCCAGTTGAGCTGCGTCCATGCCAAGTCCTCCATGCTCCTCACGTCCCATATGCTCCAGAATGCTCCAAAAGACCTATTTCAAAGGACCAAACATGCATATGTATGCAAATGCAACCTAAAACTACATGAATGCATAAGAAGAGAAAAGGAACAAGATATGATGCTAATGGATGCTAAAACTATGCAAAAGATGCATAAAAGATGTACTAAAACTATGTAAAATGCAAGTACATCAACACCCCCAAACTTGAACTTTGCTTGCCCTCAAGCAAACAAATAGAACAAGAAAGAGATGAGGTTTGAAAACAAGTTGATTCAACACTTAAAAACATGTCCTCAAAAGCGATTTGCTAAATGTCCAACTTAGAGATTCTAGAATGCAACAAGGTGAGAGATATTCATTAAGATTTAACCATGCTTATCAACATCAATCCCACTTCACAGTCACTCAAACAATGCATTCAAATCAGCAAATCCCTTTAACATTCATTAAGCAAAAACAGTGAACCAAAAACATGCAAGATCAATCAACTCATTTGGTTTCAAGGGTTTATGGGTTAAGAGACAAAGAGGGTCTCTTTTGTATGGTGGTTTAGTAACAGGGATCTCTCAAGAAAGTGGCTTTGCTTTGGCAGAAGGCTAAGTGTTAGAACCAAAGATGATGCAAGAACAGCAGCTCGAGCCGCCTAATCCTAACTCGATCGAGTTCAACACTTAGAGCTTTTTAGAACAAAATCCTAACTACCCTTTTTGGCATTTCGCCTTTGAAACTGAGGAGCTTTGCTCACTTTTCTTTTAAGAACTTCCTAGGGAGAGGCTTCTTGAGGTAACATCTAGCGGTTTGGGATTTTCTAAACACTTAGGGAACTTTTCTTTTCTTTTTGACACTTGAGGCTTTGCCTTCTTTTCATTCTACTTAGAACCCTTTTTACTTCCTTTTTTAACTTCCCAAACCTTTACTAGACCCTTTTTAAACACTGCCAACTCCCTGGACTTAACTAAACTCTTTTTCCTTTGGATTTTCCCAACTTTTACCACTTTTCTGGTTTTTGACACCCAACTCGATCGAGCTCGAGTTGGCACCCCCAAACTTAGCCTGAAAACAATCCCAAGAGAACTAGACAACTAGAACTACTGCCCCTGCCGGTTTAAACACAACACCTTATGCTAAGCAAAGCCAAGAAAGGTTCTCACATTCGCACAAGAGATAATATGGGGTTTGAAATGAAAAGGCTTAGGTTTAAGGTGTGGTAACTGTCTCAAAGATGAGATCAGCTATCTGGACAAGCAAGAGGGATATGAAAATGGTAAAGAATGTCCAGATATGTATGTGGTAGCCATGAGTTGAAATCAAATGCAAGCATTGGTAATTAAAGATCAAGTTATGGTTCAAATAGATAGGGAAATGCATCAAATCACAGCAATGGTTGAATGAGATGTGCATGCAGTGATATGATCAAGATAAACATGGTTCTTGCTGCTCAATCAATCTCACCCTAATGCACAAAAGAATCTAAAAACAGGGCACTCAAGAAATCGCAAAAGATGGACAAGTTTTCAAAGTCAAATCAACAATGCAAGTGAAAATGCAATCCTAAACAAGTCTAACAAATATGAATGCAAAAAGATGAAAATATTTTTGGATTTTTTGAAAATTTTATGATTTTTTTGGTTTTTCTATGCAAAAGATAATGAAAAACTAAGAACAAAGAAAACAAGGTTAAATCATCTCTTGAACCCTCCCCCAAACTTAAATCACACAGTCCCTTGTGTGAGAAAATTTAGTGAAAGATTCAAGAGGGCAAAACCAAGAAAAAAAACAAATGCAAGAAAATATGAAATGGTATATACAAGGGTTGGTGTTTGGATACCTCAGTGCCCCCCAAAGAACTGGGAGGCAAGGTCGTGGTCTGGAGATGGGAGACGGCCATCAGGAGCACTCCACTCGACTGGGTCCTCACTCGATCGAGCTTGCGGCTCTCTCTTCTCTCTCTTCTTCATCTCAAGTGTGTGTGGCTTCCTTGGCCTTGGTGGAGCTGTGCTCGCTCGAAGCGGTTGTAGGGGTCCAGTCTCTGAGAGAAGTCCTTGGTAGGGTGATCGTACTCGAACCAGGGTTCTCAAAGGTCTCACTCTCCTGGACTCGATCCTCAGTTGACTCAGCTCGATCCTCAGCTCGATCGAGCTCAGGCTCCTCTTCTTGCAAATCTCATGCCCAACCAATGTGTACACAGGGGGTCTGAAGTCAATGTTCTCACCCCTAGACACTGTGGTGAGCTCAGGGTTGGGCAGGAGAAGCTTGGAGGGCCAGCCAATGGATGTGTGAACTTGAATTGGAACCTCCCATCCAACTCCTTGTGCTCAATGAGGAGGTTGGTCTTGCAAAACTTGATGTCCATCCAACCTGGAGTAGACTCTCTTGTCCAGTTGACTCCAGCTGCACAAAGATTGGTGTGATCACCCCTCCAACACTAAGCTTTCTTCCTCTTTGATGCCTAGTGTTGTAAGCTGTGATCTTGTAGGAGAGCTGCTCAAGGAGAGGCATGAGTTCCCTGCATGTGCCTATCTCCTCTGATCTTCTTCCCATCCTTGTGCGTGAGATGATGGGCTTGATTCCCATGTCAAGGAGCTTGACTTCTCCTCATTGATTGTCCAGTGCCTTTCCTTGCAAAGAAGGTGTTGGCAAGTGCCTTGTGCACATATCTCAAGCACTGGGCTCCTGATCTGAGCAGCCTTAGACCTTGAGGAAGAGTACCCCTCAGCGATTGTAGCCCAACTCTTTGGAGTTCCTTCCTTGATGTTCCATAGGTTCCTTCTCCATAGTGAACCCAAACAGATCTCAAGCTGCCTAAAGGTCACCATCTTCTTCTCTCCCTTAGCCAAGAACGTGATCCATCCCAATCCTTGGTCCAACTCAGCTCGATCGAGCTCATCAAATGTGATACCTCATCGAAGCCAAGAACTCACAAGTGAGCTCCTTGTAGATTCCATGCGGTGAGAGAAGAACTTGGCCAATGCATGTTCTTGAGCACCAACTCCACATCCTCAAAGATCCAAGGGCCTCATGGTGTCATCATGTGGGTACTTGGTCTCCACAAAGTCCATGGAGAAGAGAGCATTGTAGTGCTCTTGGTACATGGGGAGCTCATCCTCCTCTTCTGCTCAGCCTCCTCCATGGCTCATCTTGGTTCCCTCTTGATCACTCTCATCAACCAATTGGTTCACCTCTTCTCCTTCCTCTTCACTCTCAGTCTCATCACTTCCTTCTTCATTGGAGAGCCATTTCCCCCTCTTGAACAAGGTTCACTCCAATCTCAAACTCCTTGCTCACTCTCACTACTTGGGTCATTCCTCTTCTTGGTTCTCCTTTCCTCCCTCAATCTCTCACTCTCAGACTCTCCTCAGAGTAGACATACCCTCTGCATCAGACTCTTCCATCCTTGATCATCCTTTCCAAATCGGCTTGCATCTTAAGCCTTCTTTCTCTTGCATTGCTTGATTCACCCTCAACCATTCTCCTTGTGAAGCACGGCTTCCCTCACTGTTTGTCATCTTGTTACACTGTTTTTCACTAAAGTACCTGAAATGCATCAAAGATTACAAAGAATTAGAGTTGTAATGATCGGTTTGGTCAACTCGACACTCAGCTCGATCGAGTCAAAAAACTCGAGTGACAAACTCGATCGAGTTAGGTGAAAACAGAGTATAACCGAACCTAATTCAAGTATTAAGAGCTGGAAAGGATGCTAATCAATCAAATTGAACCAAGAACAACTAGTAAATGGAACAATGAGCAATTCTAGTGAAACTAAGCATCTTAACCAATACCAAACTCAAATTCAATTTTCAAGCACATGCAACAAGTTTAAAGGCAAAACAGAGGTGAGGTGAGGCAAATTCACAAGATATACAGGAGAAATATGAAAGCAATTACTCAAGAACAAGTCCACAAGGGACACATGCAATCAAAAATCAAAGGGAAACAAGCAATAAGAGAATCGAGATGGAAGAATCAAGGGTTTTAGGGTTCATACCTTGCTTGAATGATGAATTGAAGACAGTAAACTAGAACCCAAACAAGAAGAAGAACAAGGAAATCGCAAAAACTTAAGAGAGAGAGATTGAAATTCGATTTTTCTTGTGGTGATGAGAGAGAGGATGATTTCAGAAATTTTAGAGTGTGGGAGAGTGGAGAAGTGGGTTCGATCGAGTTATGGGGAAGAGGGAGTGTTTGAGATGTGTGGTTGAGATTAAAAGATGAAATAAAGAGGGAACAAAAGCTAGGGATTTTGATCAATTAGGGTAGTGGGGGACCAAAATCAGCTTGTGGGACCCACTCCCTTGACCAAGAAAACGGTTATGAATTTGAAATTCAAAAACTTACCTTGGTCGAGTTGTGGAACTCGATCGAGTTGCCCTGGTTTCTAGCTCGATCGAGCTGTCGGTCGAGCTGGCTCCTTTGACACCTAAACTTAACTTATTGAAAGGTTAAAAACAAAATAGATAGAAATTGCATAAATAGAATATGTACAAGGATAAACATGGGACTTCCTCCCAAGTGAGCTTGTTTAAGGTCCCATAGCTTGACCTTTACCTTTTAGGCATTGGTTGAGCTAGTCCCACCATCAAGGGTGATAGTGAGGACTTGAGACAGAAGCTCCTTTAGCTTGGTTGGGTCCCTGGACTGTTCTGAAGTCACCAAGGCCTTGGCTCTAGAGAATGGCCTTGATCTCCCCTTGTACCTTATCTTGTACTCAATCTTCCCATTTTCAAACTTGGTGGGGAACAAAGTCATTGTGAGCTGAGATGGCTTGACTGAAGGGGCCTGAGCTGGTGGATCCTTTCTTTTATCACCTGGTCTTGCCTTAGAGGCTACATCCTCCCCTTCTTTTAGAGCCCTTCCTAGTGGCTCATCAAACAAAGCTTGAAGGCTCTCTTCATCAAGCACACAAGGGGCTTGAACAAGTCTATCAGCTCGTGGCCTATCAGATCGTGGTTTCTCAACTCTAGCCCTCTCAAGACGTGGCTTCTCAATCCTTGGTCCTCTCTCATCCTTATCCTTCCCAACTCTTGGTTCTTTGTCAACCCTTTCCTTCACAACCTTTGTAGCTCCATGACTCTTAGAACTGAGAGTGGTACTGTCAATTGTGGCACAAAAGTCTGAACCTCTAGGCTGCAAGCGATATGACACCAAACTATTCACCTTGTGAAGGATCACTTCTTGCTTGTGAAAGTCTATTGAAGCGCCAACTGTACTAAGGAAAGGGGTTCCCAATAACAGAGGTAGATCCTTCTCTTCTTCCATTTCCATCACAGTGAGATCAGTTTGGATGATGCATTCTCCAATTTTCAAGTGATAGTTCTTGAACACTCCAAGAGGAGACTTAGAAGTTGCATCTCCAAACATGATTGAAGTAGTAGGGCGCTGCAAGGCTCCAGCAATGCCTAGCTTCTCTGCCATGGAGAGAGAGATCAGATTGATGCTTGCTCCAGAATCCACTAAGGCATTGTCAATCTCAAGATGCCCAAGTGTGCAAGGGAGAGTGAATTTCCCTTGATCCTTGACCTTTGGTAGGAAGGTGGGTGAAGTAAGCAGGTTGAACTGATGAGTAGACTCTTGTAGGACCTCTGAAACTTTATCACTGTTGGCTAACATCCTTGACCATTTGCATTTGATCAAATGCCTCACTCATGCTATCCATAGGAGGCAACTCAATTCCAATCCCACTGAGATCTCTTCTGAACTTGTGAATCACTTCCTTGTGACCTTGACTAAGTAGGCGAGACGAGGAAGCGGCAACCGGTTGGTAAGGATCAAGCAAAATGGCTTTGGACAGAAGAGGTCGGACTCGATCGAGCTAGAGTTGGACTCGATCGAGCTGCCGATCGAGCTTGTCGTGCGAGCTCAACTGGTGAAGTGTGAATGGCCACAGTAGGTGCTGCACTTCTGGTTGATCAATCTGGACTCCAGGAGCCTCAGCAGCAACAATCTCTTCATCATTCAGCAGTAAACAAAAATCTTCAATGACCCTTTCTTGATCCTCTTCTTCAACAAGTCCTTCTTGAGTGAAGATGACCTTGCACTGTTCCTTGGGGTTCTGAATAGCTTTACCAGGTAGTTGTCCTTGCTTTGTAGCAGCAGCAACAGAAGAAGCATGATTCTCCAGAGAGTAAACCCTTGTGTTGAGATTCTCGATCTTGAGTTTATTTCAGCTAGCTTCTTGCTTGTGTCCACTACCCCATCAGCTTGCCCTTGAAGTAGTTGCTTTAGCATTGCCTTGAGCTCATTCTCTTGTGAAGGTGCAGGCTGGGGTGGTTGGTGGGGAAAGCCTGGTGGGATATTCATTTGTTGTCCAGGGAAAGTGCCTTGTGGTCCTTGGTAATTGTTCTTTTGACCATACCCATGTTGTGGCTTGACTCGATCGAGCTGCTTGTTGTTGAGGATAGACTTGGTCCTGAGGGTTAGCAACATCAGTGTTGCGGTATGACATGGCAGGGTTGGACTTGTAATTATAGTATCCTTTGTTGTAACCTCCTTGCCCATTGCTCATGTAGCACACCTCAGCAAATTGTGTATCCTCCCCTTCTTGGACTGGTTCCATCTCCTCAGCAGACACAAAGTTGACTTTCTTCATTGTGGACTGAGCTAGGATCAGCTTATCCAACTTCTCATTCAATGCCTTAACATCTTTTCTCAACTTTTCGTCTGACTCGATCGAGTGGTGGGTCGAGCTCCGATTGGTGCGATCATACTCTTCTCCATAGCTTCCATTTGAGTTAGCTATGTTCTCCACAAGTTGCCAGCCATCATCTACATCCTGGTTGAGGAAGTTCCCATTGCTAGCTGTGTCTAGCATCTCCCTATACCTAGGCAAGCATCCTCTATAAAGAGTGGAGAGTAGTGATTCATTGTTGAATCCATGGTGTGGGCACTGACTTGTGTAGCCTTTGAACCTCTCCCAAGCCTCTGCGAATGTCTCATTGTTTCGCTGGATGAAGCTGGATATCTCTCCTCTAAGCTTGGCTGTGCGACCGGTGGAGAAAAACTTAGCAAGAAAGGCCTTCTTGCATTCATCCCAAGTGGTGATTGTGCCATGGGGCAAGCTCTTCTCCCATTGGTGAGCTTTGTCAGCTAGAGACATAGGAAAGAGTCTCAGCTTGATGGCATCTTCAGAGACACCATTGATCTTTGTCAAATCACAAAGCCTATCAAACTCATCAAGGTGGTCAATGGGGTCTTCACTTGGCAATCCATGGAACATCTTGTTCTGGACAAGGTTGATCATTCCCAGCTTGATCTCAAAGTTGTGGTTCTGCACTGGTGGTGGAACAATCCCTTGTCTCTGTTGGTGGCGGTTTGGAGCATCTCCTTGACCAATCGGTCGAGTTTGCCTAGCTCGACCGAGTCCATTGCCCAAAGGGTTTCCATTCCCCTCTGGTACATCCATTGTATCAGCAACAAGCACCTCAGGTTCCTCTTGTACCCTCTGTGACCTCTGAACCCTCTTTCTACCCGTTGTAAGTCTAGCTCGACCAAGTCTCTGTAGACCGACTCGATCGAGTTCGCATACACCTGCAAAAAGAGACAAAAACCCAGCAGTACAATAGAACAGGGGTGGTATAGCTTGATCGTCCAAGTGTGTTTGAAACTCAAATGCAACAAAAATATCCCAAATCGGCAACGGCGCCAAATTGATGATAGGATTTGTGTGTGTGTGAAATGAGATGAAATGAGATGAGGTGGAATGCAACAGTGGTATATGATGAGGTGGTAAGATGCAAACACAAACACAGTCAACAATTCCCTTTAACCATCATAGTCATTAGTAGCATAAGGGTTATCAATCCAAAATGGGAAATTGTCACTCTATGAGAATATGAAACAACCAGGAAGTCAAGCAAGCAGTAAAGATATGGTAACACTAACAACCTAAATGAAAGAAATGCAATGCAATAAGTAAATAAAGCAGTAGAAGCAACAGCTCGACCAAGGACTCGAGTCGAGTGGAACAGAGTACCAGCTCGATCGAGTTTAGGGTCGAGTTGAGAAAAAGCTAAAGGCAGCGACTTTAACAAGCTAATGAGAGAATTAGGGTTCAAGACAGGGTTTTGCAATCAAAGGAATCTACACTTAATCATCTAGCTCTTAAAACTCCTTGTATCAAGGCTTCTCTTGATATTGGGCTTCTCAATGCCTAGCCAACCCTTTCCCAAGGTGGAGGCTATCAACCAAGGAATGATCTCAGAAACAGGGGGTTAGCCAGTGAGAATCAAACCTTGGAGGCCATAGGATCATTGCCCAAACTAATCCATCCAACCCCTTAGACCTCTAGAGAGCAAGAGATATTGGAGCTCTTAGTGGATCTTTTCCAGCGATTTCCATCACTTCCATGTGGAGAATCGCCTAAGGACTTACAAGCCAGGGGTAGTGGTCATGTAGCCTTAAGATCTATCCAAAAGAGAGAGAATCTAGATTAAGACCATAAGCAAGAAGGATTAAGCATATGAAACCTCTAATCTATCCCATCTCAAACCCTAATGGGTAACTACTCACTACACATGAATGTAAACACAAGCAAATGCAATAAAAGAGACATCATAAGAAAGAGGAGATGAAATAAACAACTTTTATTGAAATAAGCAAGTGCAAATACAAAGAGATTATCCAGGATCTAGGATTCAAGAAGCAAGAGCTTCAAGAACACAAAGATGGGATTAGAGCTCTAAAAAGTAAAAGACAATAAATTAAAAGAAACTAAAACAAAAAGTAATCTAAAGCTTGGTGGTTTTTTCGTGGCTTAGCCTTTAAATACAAGAGGATTTAGGTTTAGGGTCAAAGGAAAGTCAAGGGGGAAGCAACATTTTTCGGGTTTGACTTTGACTTCTCAGCTCGATCGAGTTGAAGCTTGGCCGGTCGAGTTGAGGAACTCGACCGGTTGGTCGAGTAGGGGTCGAGCTGGTCTTCAAGATGGCTTCTCCTTCTTCCTTTGCGTATCCAGTTGAGCTGCGTCCATGCCAAGTCCCTCCATGCTCCTCACGTCCCATATGCTCCAGAATGCTCCAAAAGACCTATTTCAAAGGACCAAACATGCATATGTATGCAAATGCAACCTAAAACTACTATGAATGCATAAGAAGAGAAAAGGAACAAGATATGATGCTAATGGATGCTAAAACTATGCAAAAGATGCATAAAAGATGTACTAAAACTATGTAAAATGCAAGTACATCACAATCCTGCAACTTAGGACATCGGCAAAAGGAAATTTCTCACGGTAGGGAACCGTCCTTGGAAATTAAAACAAAGAATTCGGCCAAGGACATGAACTGACTTGGTTTCTGGGCCAGCCCTACCATAAGGCTGATAAAGCATTGGATTTAGGCCACCAAATTATATATTTCCACATGTTCCTTTTGTTTAGTGGTTGTGTTGCTCCTTTTTCTTCCGTGTGTTGACGGTTCGAAGCCTTCCAACACCAAAGTCTTCACCTATTATTTTTTTGTTTATTTAACTATTAAATAAATTTAGAAAAAAATTATTTAATAAAAATTGCTTGAGGCCACAAAAACCTTGGGCTAGCCCTGCTTGGTTCTATGGAATTCATATACAAAAGATCAATAGATTTGATAACATAGTGAATTTTTTTTTTTTTTTTTTCAAAGGAGGGGAAAGTCCCCTAATTTATTCAAATAAGAATTACAAAGGAACAAGACGTGGGAAGGAAACCCCATCAATATCCTCTAACACAAATGGATTAACACTATCCGGAACAAAATCAAAAAGATGAAAACATAACGGTAACGAAGTCGCATAGTTAGCTAACCCATCGGCAAGACGATTTTCTTCCCTATACACGTGAGAAATACGGACTATCCAATCCCTTGAAATTAAGCCATGACACAACCGCACCAGGAACGACAACAGATTCAACCACTGATCCCTATCTTGAGAAACCCAACAACTACCTCCGAGTCCACTTCTAACTCCACTCTCTGTGATCTCCTCTCCCACGCAATCACTAGCCCATAATATACGCCCCATAATTCAGCGAGTGAGGCAGTATAAATCCTAATGTTCAGAGCAACTCCTTGACACCATGCGCCGTTCTCATCATGGATTACTCCACCTGCAGATACCAAAACTGGTTTACCCTTCGAGGCGCCGTCGGTGTTAATCTTTATCCAACCAGGACTTAGTCGTATCCACTTGATTTCTCTCTCCACTCTGGTTCGCTTCACTTGGTTATGCAGCTTTGCCTTAGTATACGCCATCGTCACCTCTTTCGCTTGGTCCTTCACAAACTTTTCTCTGTCACGACGCTTCCCAGCTGCATTAAACATGTTGATGCATTTCCATTTCCATCTCCACCAAACCGTTATGGCAAACATAGTGTCCCATGTGGTATCCCCTATCTTATTATTGTCTCCAAGGTTTGAGTACAACCATTCAAGTAAGGTGATATACCTCTATTTTACATGCTTTTTATACTGTTTTAGTATGGTTTTTAGCAGGTTTTCTATCTAAAAAGGTAGTTTTATTGGATTTATAGTACTTAGAGTCTAAACAGGTGAAATGATGCATTTTGGAGCAAAACCATAGGATTTGCACTTCAACCAGTTTCATACCGAAGCATCAACTTTGAGAAGGCCTGGAAAATAATCTACTCAATGGATTTCATCAAAACCACTTCGCCGGGTGCTATGAGTGAGTTAACTTTCCAACGCAAGTGTTTTGGCATCATTTGGATGAGTAGAAATGAAGTTATGATCAAATTAGTGAAGACTGGTCCAGACGGCTTAACCGAGCAATCGCGCTCCAACCGCGCACACCGGCCGACCAAGGAGCTATCGTCCCACGATCGACCCGCGCAGAACGTCCGCGTTCCATCCCGCCGAGTGCACGGCCGAGCTCACGTACCGACTCGGGAAGCATCGTCCCGCGGTCGACCCGTCCGAGTCTCGCCACCACAAGCCGCGCACGATCGCACCGCGCGAACCGGGAAGCATGGCCGCACGACCGTGCAGCATTTCATCCGTGCCACGCGCACGAGCATACCGTCCGATCAGGAAGGCTTCGTCCAGCGTCCGGCTATATCCTTCGACCAAACCATCCATCCGGCCGAACCCGACGACCGAACGACAAAACTCTCGGCCACGATCGACCCGATCGTGCCGATAACTGACCACGACCCGATAGCCGGCCGAAGAGAATTTAAAACAGCTTTAGAAAACTTAAAAACAAAGAATATAAAAAATTGTAAGAACATTAAAAACAAAGCCGGCAAAAAAAATTAAGAAGAAGAGAGAATCGTGGGAGAAGAGAATTAGAAATCCTTACACATGCGGCTGACAATCAAAAAACCCAACTTAACATATCTTGGGATTAACCTATTTCGCAGCTCTGTTTCCCAAAGAGAGCATTAGTCTCACATTTGCACCCAAAAAAAAGGGAGCATTAATCCTACAAAGAGGAGGGTGACGGTGGGCTCAAAGGAAGAAAAAGAAGAGAAGAAGAAGAATCGGGCTTGACTTGATTTTTAAAATGATGGGACTCTGATCAACAGTTTGATCTGTGTCCTGCACAGAGTGATGATTTTTAAATTTTGTATTTTTTAATCAAAAATGTATATATAACTATTTTAAAATTTTATATGACATGTTTTTCACCTTGGTTAGATTCTTATCTTGGTTTATAGTGTGGAAATTAAGCATTTTAAACTATTTTCAAAAAAATTAAACAAATTAAAATGTTGATCGTAGCCATAAATTAAATATTATAGATTTAAGTAAAATACATAAAACTCAAATGATTACAATATAATAAAATTGTTCAAAGAACAAAAATGAAAATAAAATACTATTCTTTTTTAAAAATTATATATCATGTATTTTATAAGATAAGCAGTTATAGATGTATGCACACGGATTATATCTTTTGTAACTATGCAAACGGGTTATAACTAACTTTTTTCTCTTTTATTCAAAACTAAAAAATGTTTTACAATAATTTGAAAACAATTCGACCAATAAGAAAACAATATGCAGTATCCAAATTGTCAAAACAACAAAAATATAATTACTTTATAATGAAAGTGAAACAGGTAGATCAATATTCAAACTTTTGATCAAAACAAAATATTTATAAGAAGAATTGTCTTATTTAATTTAATTATACCGTTTAATTAAGAAACCATATTAAATCGAATAAAAAACCAATTTATATTTAGATACCTACTCTACTATGTCATATGGTTGCACATCATATATTTCTTTATATAATATATTTTTACACCTTCACACAATAACATATCATATATGGGAATTTTACGGGTTTTAGTGAATATTCGTTTTTTTTTTTAAATTCAAATCATTGTATATACAGAAAAAAATAGATTTTCTTTACTAAATTTCTTATATTGTGATTCAAATCTACATAACTGATAAAACTTGGGACACTCTCTAACTTCGACAGGTGGCACTTTTTTTTTTCCTCCCTACGCCAAAACGACGTCGTTTTGCGTCTCTCCTACCTGCTTCTAAAACGACGACGTTTTGTTTTTAGGTTAAAAAAATTCACCCCGACTTAAAGCAAACGACGTCGTTTTTTGGTTTACTAGAAAAACAATTTGTATCCGTCAAATCTCGGCTTCACATCTCCCTTCCTTCGAGGGACTCCTCGCATCCCCCATTCCACCGTTACAATGGTCGCTCCTCCGACACTTAATGGCCGACATCCTCTCCCCCAAGTATTCGCCTTCAAATCTTATCTCCCTTTGTATAGCTCCAGCCTTCAGATCCCGTTTTTCTCATCCCCACAATTGTTCCTCGCTCCAAACAAGTTTCCTTCCTCAGAGGTGACGACCCTTGGGTCTCTCTCCTGACGAACACAGTTCGCTCTTCTCGCCAGCCCCAGCCATGGTTCACAGTTTCCATTTCCTCCGCTACCCTCCTCCGTCAATTTCATAGATTTACTGTTAGGTCGCACTGCTCCCCTCCTGCGTCTATGGAGCCACGGAAATTCAACGGGAAATGGGATTGTCATGCTTCTTCTTCATCAGAAGGTAAGACTCCCGAAATCTTTTGCCTGATCATTATCTGAACGCATCCGTAGAATTAACCATGGCGTTATTTACTTCGATGTTAGGGTTGCTCGCAAACAGTACTCCATGTCAATGGCAATGGGCTACATGTAGGTTGCTTCTCGTGTTTCATGTAGTCTGCTCAACCTCTTGTTTCAAATGGTTGCATTTATAGGGCCATATTATCGTCTTCTTGGAGTATTTCGTTATAGACTACATTTTATTTTTTATGTATGTTTCCGAGGTGTGTGATTAGACATCTTTTTTTATGCATATGCTTACAGACACGATGCTGCTGAGTGATAAGATGAATGGCATGTTTATGTGAGTGATCCTAGCTTGGGTAGTGCAGTAGCTACACTCTTGGCTATTGAACTTTCGTCAAGCCAATTGGCTAAGTAAGTGCTTTTGACAAGTCCCTACTTCTTACATCACAAGCAGCTTGATGAGCATTTTATCAGTATATTTTGTGTATGCTTGTTAGACGTGGAGCAATCACTGTTACCACTTACCATGTACAATTTTGGATCTTCAAGAGTAGGCAACAAATTTTTTTCTGAAGTTTATAATCAGGTAACAAGTTTTGATTGACAAATGGGAGTGATATGGCACTTTTTCATTTAATCTCATTGGTTTTGTATGTATTGAATTCTATACTTTTTTGCAGAAAGTAAAAGACAGCTGGAGAGTTGTAAACCACAGAGACATAATTCCCACAGTCCCTCGCTTACTGGGCTATTGTCATGTTGCTCATCCTGTTTATCCAGCTACTAGAGTCTGGAGATGTGGTAAGGTCACACCATTTGAACTTCTTATTATTTTCCTAGACGTGTCTGTTCTATGTGAATGAAATGATCTATGCTCGTTGTGTTGCCTTGCTTACCGTCACTGGAAACATTTTTCTGCTTATAGTCTCTGTCTCTTTTTTGTTTTTCAGGACTATTTAGAGTATGATATTATATTCAGCCTATTTAGAGTGTAATGTTTTTACTAACAGGCAAAACAATCCGAAGAATCAAGTGGTGATGGTACTAGCAATGCTACATCTGAAGTCAAATCTCCATAAAAAGAAGCAAATCGGGAGATCTTTTAAATACTGAGACAAGACGCTAACTCATTACAGCAAAACATTTAGGTGATTTTTATGCGCTGAGCTTGGGGTTAGCTTTCTCTGTATGAGCTGGGTTAACTTTCTCCTTCTAATTATCTTTGTGTGTTGAAATTTGGGTTAACTTAGAGATGAGCTTATGATGCAATTTGATCCTTATTAAGTTATGATGAAATCTGATTTGGTCTTGGTTTCATCCTTTATTCTCGGATTGCAAATGTAGGCAAATAGTCTTATTCTAGGTTGCAAATAGCCTTAGCTCTTGTTCTGTATTTTTTTTTCAGGGCATAGTAAACATGAAGAAGAATACAAAGGAGAAGAGATGAGACATACAACACATTGTTTTATTTTGTATTGTCAATATGTAATTAAAGATATGTTGGTTAATATGAAGATATTTTGCATTGACAATATGTAATTAAAGATTTATTTTTCTTAATCTCATTTTTAGTATCATTTTTACAAATGATCATCTCTTTTTAGTATCATTTTTACAAATGATTTTAACCTCAATTTTAGTATCATTTTCACAAATGATCTTAATCTTTTTTTTGTATCACTTTTACAAATGATATTAATCTCTTTTTTTTGCATCATTTTTACAAATGATCTTAATCTCTGTTTTGTATCACTTTTACAAATGATCTTATTCTCTTTTTTTTTTTTTGCATCACTTGTAACTAAATGATACTAAAATGTAATTTCATGTCATTTGTAAAAGTGATGCAAAAAAAACTTAATGTCCTTTTTACAAGTGATGCTATAATTCTTGTATACTAACTTTTAAAAAAGTGACTAAAAAATAAGTTTCTTGTAGTGACATTGCCTATTTTTCATTGTTTCCTTTCCTGATGTTTGCAATTTCTTATATTTTTCTTTCTCTCCATTTCATCTATGTCCGAGGCAATTTTTGGCTTCGTCGATGTCCTGTGAATGATAAAGATTCATAATGTCCTCATACTTTTAAAATAAAAGTTGTAGAACAATATACCCGCGCGTAGAGCGGATTCTCTCCTAGAATCTTATATATTCACACCTAGATTATTTTACACTTTATAGGAATTTACGTTAGGTGTGATTATTTTAAGTGATTCCACTCTAACATCAAAAGCAACTAATAAAATACTATTAATATATAAATCTGCGCATTGCGCGGGTTCTCTCCTAGTTATTTTATAAAATAGAAGTAAACAAAGATGAAATGAGATATCTAATTATTTAAAAAAAAAACAATTATTATGATAGAATTAAATTGATCATATTTTTCTTATTTACTAATTTTCGTAATTGCCAATTAAGGAAAGAGAATGATAATTTTTTTACTAACAAATCATTAATTTAATAATACAGATTTAATTCTCTTACCCAAAATATGAATGACAATATCTGTAATTATTAATATCTTGATAATTTCATGTGACATATTTGTAAATAGTCTAATTAAGAGAGAGTTATTTTTAGAAAGTCTTAAGAGTGTGGCAAATGCTGACACCTCAGCGTGTCTTCTCTTTTAATATATAAGAGATAGTTTGGGAAAGTTGCTCAAAGAGAATTAGAAAAATCATCCACAAAAGTAGAAACTAATAGAAGAGTTGAGTTAGGCCGGGGTCTTTTACCCGAAACCCAAAACCGAAAATAAGAAACCGAAAAAACCTGGAAAAAATCCAAACCGAATCCGAACCAAATTTAAAAAAAAACCTGAATGGTTTCTATATCTCTAAACCAGAAAAATTCAACCTAAACCTGAACCGAAATCCAAAATCCGAAATCCCACCATCAGTGGAGCTAAGAAAGAACTCTCTCTAAAGAACTGGCTTGCGACGACCACGTTCAATGGTCCATTCCATTTCTTGAACTTTTTGTGTAGGCTTTATTAGTCGAACATGTTTTTCCTTCGGATAAAGTTTTATATTCTAAATGGATACAATTTTACGATTATGGGTAAAATATATATTTCTTCCAATTTGATAATAATATGGGTTGAAAACAAATAAATCTCATTCTCTTACATCCCAATTCATTTGTAAATAACCATCATGTATGATTAATAAATTTGAAATTTCATTAAAACAAAAAAAAACTCATTCAAATAGTTAACATTTAAATATGATAAAAAAAACATATGGTACCACAAACAACATTTTAGTCAAACTTTAAAACAATAACCAATCTTAAGAACCTACTAATGCTTACAAATTAAATTAACTCAAATGTTAGCAACATCACAGGTCAAAACCAACATTCTTTTAGTCTGGGTTTTTCCCAATGTTTTTAAAACCGGACCAGAGAATGAACCGGAAAGATTTTCGAGTCATAGGTTAATCTGGTCCAACCTGGTTTTCAATAAAATTTATTTAGTTAATATATATATCATATATATATATATATATCAGTTTATATTTAAGTGTAATTAGTCATCAATATAATTTGCTACTTTAATGTTTTCTTTATTGAAGAAGAAAAACCCTACTCTCCTTTTTTCCTAAACGCCGCCCCCATCTCATCTAGACTCTTCTCCTTCTTTCTTCTCCTTCGTTCTTCTGCCTCTTTCTTTTCTTCCTTATATCTATGGTTTTTTATTTTCCTTCCTGATATCATATCATATAGATCAGAGAAAATCAACTGAATAATCAGTTTTGACTACATGAATAATCAGTTTTGACTACATGTAATGGAATGGGACACAAAAAAAGATATACCGTCAACTGACTCAAGAACAAGTATCAATCTAGGTTTTTAAGAATCCAGAAAAAAATAACCGGATTTATTACTTTATTCGAACCGGTCGGTTTCTGGGTTTTTACCGGTTTTCTGTCGGTTTTTCTGGGTCAATTACAATTGCGATTTTTCACTAAAATCGGACCGGGATAGGCTCCGTTTCCCGGTTAAACCGGTCTGACCAGCCGGTCCAGTCCAATTTTTTAATCATTGGTTTTTCCCGACAAACATAAAAGAGAACGGATCTGATCAAAAGCTGAAATTTTGTAATTTTGAGTTTAACATGTCTCTTGAACAAATTTACAAAAGAAGATAAAGAGATTATAGGATCTACAAATTATAGATTTTTATATGATATTAAATTGAGAAGATATTGTTTTAGTTTAGAAAGGAAATTAAAGTGAGATTTTTTAGTTTTTTTTGGTAAAAGGAAAGTCCAAAAATTACTGATCTAGGCAACGCCCAATGTTACAATACAAGTATTACGGTAATACTAGGGCTAAGCCCGCGCGATGCGCGGGTTGTGACTATTACAATGTTTTGTCACATGTATATGAACTTTTGCATCAATTTTCAAACATTTCTATATTGTTTTTGTCTTATCTAAAACAAAATTTTGAAAAATTGTATTTCCCTGCATAAATGGTGAACATAAAATGTATATATTATACCTTAAGAATTATACTCCCTCTATTTCCTTTTAATTATCGTTCTAAAATGTTTTTCGCATTACAAAAATAATCAAATTTATTGTTTTAACCCTAATCACTATTTTGTTTTTTATATGAATAATTAATGAGTTAAAAAGTAAGAATAAAATTAATAAATATTGTAATAAATGAAAAACGATAAATAATAAATAATATGAAACAAAATTTATTAAACGATAAAATGAAACCGAAAGAGTAATATTTTCTCAGAAAACATTGAAGTTAACATTATATTGGCAACTAAGACTCGATATGTATTACTAAAAAATCAGGTATTACTAATTAATTAATAAACTTATACATATGTTTGACCAAACATAATAAATAATAAAGTTATACGTATAAATGAAGAGAATACTTGAACACAGAGGAGCGGACCTGGGTACATGTAGATTAGCAGGGTGACCAACGCATTTCTAACTTCTTATTACCCAGTTTCTACGAAGACCTAAACTTAGATTCTCTAGACTTATTATTACCCAATTCAAAATGGTTAAATTTTGGTGACAAACAAAGAAATGATAAATACTTGTAGATTTCTAGTGAAAACTATTTTATACTTCGTACATATCATATCCATCAATATTCAAACGTTAGTCATGATTATACAATTCAAAGATCGCTGGGATATATACGTTGAAAGTTAGAAACTATCAATCAATATCCAGTATCACCAACTTTTATAAAACACAACACACAAGTTGAATAAGAGTTTCTGAATTTGTTATATAGTCCGTTCATGCATATTTATTTTCAATGTTTTGATTTGCATAAGCTGATTATAAGTTTCTATAAATTTCATTTTTAGTCATTCAATTCAGAGGGTTTTTGATTTTTGATATTTCTTGTTCAATTACGTTAGATATCTCATATGCTCTTCTTTTCACCAATAAAGTTGGGCCAAAATGTATTTTAAAAGCCCAATTTACAATAATATGTGATAATATGTCTTTGTCTTCTTCGAATCAACTCCGACGGTGACAAGGGTTCACGTTTCCGATCTACACATATTATACATCCAGATCTGAAACGCCCGCTTTATATCTTCACTTCCGGCCGCAATTTTCTTTATCACAACCCGTTTAGATTTTCACTTCCAACGGCAATTTTCTTTATCACAACCCGTTTTTGCCAAAAACGTTGACATCGGCTCAAGTGGCTTTGACCATAAACCTCCGCCGATTCTCTACCGTTGCAGCGTTAGTCTTCTAGATCTCTAGCTTCCTCTCACGCCGTTATAAGTCTTTGATCGCTTGATAAATCCAGCTGACATCGTCGTTTTTCCAGGCTAAAAAATGGTGCAGCAATCATTGATCTACAGTTTTGTCGCTCGCGGCACGGTAATCCTCTCCTTCACCTTCCCCTCTCCACGTCCCTAACAGAAACAAAAACTATGCGACGGAAGGGTGCACTGGCGGTGCCGCCGTTAGCCGTTGATTTTCGTGATCCTGCATCACCATCCGACATCTACGATTAGGGTTGGTGGAGGAGGCGGAAGGTCTACAGGAAGACAAAACAATTTTAGTCTAAATTCAATGCGTTTGTTAATATTTTTTTTAATAAAATAGGTGTCACGTGGCAATTCAAGAAAGAAAGAAAATTGCTGAGGTGTCATTCAACTACATCGTACATCAGTGTTTTAAGTGTAAGATGTGTCTAATCAAATATAATCTTTTACATATCAGAAAAACAATAAAAGAGCAAAAAAGAGTACAAATGTAATCTTTTAAAAACAAAAATTACCTTTTGTATCTCCATTGTATAAATAAACAGTCATTCCAGATTATGGATATTTTGTATGAATTTGATATGACTTTCTATTTTTATAAATAAAAAAATATTGAAAATTATGGATGTTTTGTTATGGATGTTTTATCCCTTCCAATATATGTTGTTACAATAACATTTTAATCAAACTTTTAATAATATTTAATTTTAGAAAACCAATGTTCACAAATTAAATTAACTTAAGGTTAGTAATATCACGGGTTAAAACCAACATTCTTTCAAATAAAAATAAACGGATCTGATTAAAGGTGAACATTTTTAATTTTGACTTTAACATGTTTCATGGACAAATTTATAAAAGAAGAGAAAAAAAATGATATGAGTTGAAACAAATAAATCTCATTCCTTTAGATCCGATTTTTTCCCGAGAGCATAAAAAGGAACAGATCTAAATAATACTATCGTGGTCAATGATACAACGTTGAACTCAACGCTATTATATCATCCGATAGCGTTTTTCCGACACTATTAATGAAAATATCTGAAAATGTCAAGTTGTTGAACTATAACCTCAAAACAAAAAAAAGATTTATGGGAACGCTTTGGAGAAAGTCGTTGATAGTCAACAAGAAATTGAAAAGAGAGATCACAATGAAGAAACTATATAGATTCACATTGAGAAGAAGAAAAAAACAAACACTACAATGTTTGATTTCGAGTAATATCCGTGGCTGGTTCCGTGTAAAGCAAAAACAATTAAAAAAGATGTCAAACTAATCACAATATTTCAAAAATGACCTTATAATTTTCGAGCGAAGTCGGTGATGAGAGATTAGGTGAGTTCTTTACGGAGAAAGTGTAGGTTTCTAAGGATGGGACATTAGTGATTTGGGTTGCTCCCGTTTATGTCTTGGTTTAGTGACATGGGAAGACATGACAAATAGGACAAGAGGGATTGTCCGTTCAACACGTGTCCTTTCAATTTTTTGCATTATTTTTATTTTATTTTTTTCGTTGCTTTATTGCTTTTGTTTTCTTTTCTATTTTCTTATTTTTTCTAAAAATTTCTTATTTTATCTGTAACTTCTTCTTCCACGATCTAAGAGCATGAGTAATGGGGGAGCTTAAGAAGGAGCTTAAACGATTTTTTAATATTAAAACCACGTTAGCACATGTGTTAAGAATTGTTTGTTTTTTCTTGCTCCAATGGGGGAGCTTATTTTGGGGTGCTTAAGAAAAAAAAATTTTAATTTTAATTTTATGAGTGAACAAAACATATTCTGTTTCTTTCCTAAGACGCAACTCCTTTTGGTGCTTCTGCTCCAAGGCTTGAGCTTGTAACTGCAGTTAACCTTGTTCTTCCTTGTAAGACTCAAGTAACCGTTTCATCAACTCATTGTCCTCTGTTTCTCTAGCAAGTGCAACCTGTGCTTCTTTCCTAAGCTTGACTTCTTCATTGTAATTGCTCTCCAGCTCTACAGCCTTCAAATCAAGCTGTCGTTAGACTTAAAGATGAAGTATATATAGATAATGCTTTTGGAATTTGGATGGTACGGATGTGTTACCCAAGAGCTTTGCAAGAACTGCTGCTTGAAAGTTTGATCAGAAAACTGGAAATCAGATAGTTTCCCAATGGAGGTCAGAAAAAAGTGCATAGCGTCGGTATTCCTCTCAGGTGGAGTGATGGGATTCATAAGCACCTACAAATGAATTGCAGTTAACAAGTAAGTATAGTTAGTAGAAACATTGGCTATTTAATTACACACTTGGCTATTTAAGAGACGACAGGGCAAACCTGAACTATACTCTGCCTTGTAGTTTCGTTGACCATATTATTCTTGAAAATCTCAGCAAGAACCCTCACGGTCTTAATGAATCTCCAACAGTCTGATTCCTCAACAAAAACAAGTGGTGGTCTCTCTGTGTTGGGAGATGAGTGCTCAAGCTCCAGTCGACACTGAATTCAAGAACAGATAATAAAAAAAGTCAGTTTTTGAATAGAGTGATTATCTAAGAGAGTCAAACAAGGGACAATGAGCAAGTGTGAATTTTGATAACTTCAAAATGAACATGTCTAACCTTCAAAGGACCATTATCTGTTCTGAAGCTAATCCCTGGAATATACTTAAGCCATACAGGAAATCCACTGAGAAATTTAAACAGAAACAAACAATCACATTAGAATTTCTGAGGAAAAGTTCTCTCTTTTGTAAAGTTCTCTATGTGAACCAATCTTTCACTAGACCCAACAGGGACAGAGGGGAATGAGAAACCTTAATTGAAAGCTTTCGAGATTACCTATCCTTATTTTTAGAGATGGAGGAAGAAGGAGACGAAGGGACAGAGACCAGCCAGAGCAGGTCAGTGACTCCGCCAACCGCCTATTTCAAAACAGTCGGCGTTTTCTTCTCCGGCGAACCAAAGAAGCATCGCGGCCGATTATTACACATGCAGAAAGACAAAATGAAGAGCTTGTTAATCGACTACAATAGACAAGTCCAAATGGAGATTATTCAAGGTTTAAATACAGTTGCATCCAAAAGCATTAAAATTTAAGTTTCTGAAAATTTTGACCAAATCAAAGCACAAAACTACTAACTCTAAATCACAAGTAAACGAGATTTCCTAAACTAAATCGGCAAGATAAAAGCAATTTGCAGTGCTTAATGAACATTGAGCCCTAATTGACCACGATTTACACCGACTGTTGACGAAATTTTACCTTGCACAGAGGAGACAAAATCGTCGATTGAGATCCTGTTCATCGGCGTGTCTTCTTCGCCGATTATCATCACCGCAGGGTGATTACGAAAGCCCCACCGACCTGAAGCATGAGAAACGTTTCGAATTCTGGAGAGAAATCGGTGATTGATTCCATGTTTCAGAGAATCGCCGAAATCGCCTTCGAAGAGGTTAGAGAGAGGAGAGAGAAACCGGAAGAGGAAAATGAAGAAGAAAAAGAGTTTTGTCTCTTCTCAAAACCGCCGAGCCAATCATGTCTTGCCACGTGGCAGGTAAGCTTCGACGCTTCCCCAGCTAAAATAAGCGTCGAATTCATTTTTTTTTTAATTTTGATTTAAATTTCGCCTAAGCACCACGTTAAGCGTTCCGCGTTGGACGTGCTCTAAGAAACTGCCTACATCCCCATGATCTTCAAACTCTAGAAATTCACTTTTAACAGGAATCTCTCACATCTCCAGCCAGAAACGAAATCACCTAACCTCATCAATTTCGAAAATTTTACTTTTTTCTTTCATCCATAAAACATGATCTCTAAATTTTCTTTTTTCACAGATCCAATCATAAATTTACCGATAGAGATTCAATATGTGATTCTAGCTTGACCTTTTCCCTCTCATGATCTAACATTCTCAAATAGGTAATCCATATGTATTCGATTTCTTTTCCTAATTCAAATTTTAAGTTTTCGATTCGGGTTATTTCTATCAATTGCTGATTTGGGATTACTCTTTTGAATGTAATTATGATTGATTTTCGGAAATTAATTGCAGGTAGTACTGCAACTGCTACGAGATGAAACTTCTCAATTTTTAGGGTTCTTTTTCTACTTAATTCCAGGTATTATTTAAATTTCCAAGTTCCATGATTTCTTATGCAGTAAGCATAACTATTTTGATATTTGGTTCCAGTTTCTTTTCCGAAATTCCAATTTTGCATTTTTTTTTTTTTTTTTATGTTTACGATCAAGATTCAAAAGTGGTGTAGTTGTTTTATCGCAAGTGTAATTTTAATTGTAGAAACCCGCTATTTGAGCATTTGTAATCAGAAAAGTTATTTTGGGGAATCAAGTGGATGCCATCAGCGCTGAAACCATATCTATTGTGCTCTGAGCATTGTCTTTTGGTGGTGACATTTGTAGAAGTGGATTTTGGTATTGGTATTAAAAATATGGGTTTTGATATTCAGCAATGGAAGAAGAGATTCACTATTTGTAATTTTCAATACACAAAGAAAACTAACAATGAAATAGCTCACGCTTTAGCTATGAATATTCCCCATGATTTAGTCTTCTACTCTTCTAAATTGTATCCGCCTCACTGGCTTTCACATCTTCTGTATTCAGACTTTGTTAAGTCTTTCTAACATATAAGTTCATTTTGACGTAAAAAAAAGGTTTATTATTATAAATTCTTAAGTCCGTGCATGGCTAATGTCGTAGTCGTGTTATACAGGTGGAAGAAGATGGAAATTGAATATTCTCACGACAAATAAAATCTTCTTTTTTTTTTTTTTTTTTTTTTTGAAAAAGGGTGATTAAGAAACAAATTCACAAAAAAAGGATAAATATAATCTTTCTTCCACGCAAAGAAAAAAAAAAGAGACAAGGAAAAAACTGTCAAAGTTACTGGGGGAGCAGGAGCAGTCATGGATTGTCTACAAGTACAACTTGTATATATGTATCCAATGAGACTCAAGAAATCGTTAAAAAAGACCTCAACTCAAATCTAGTTTTTTTTTTTGGAAAAACTCAAATCTATAAGACCATAATATGCATGCATCGAGATGTAAACAGCGAATGCATACCATTTTTCTATTTGCCACTTGATCAAGTGGGTCAATAATTAACCACGAAACTAACTCTGAATAGACCAAACATTTTCGACATTGTACGTTGAGATCATTGTGCAGGAAAGACGTGTAATATATATGTGGAAGAAGAAGGAAACTGAATATAATCCCAACAAAGAAAATATTTCACACACACACAACAAAAGAAAAATAAAACTAAAAACCGTCAAAATTTCTGGCGGAGCAGTCATGAGGATGAAAAGGATGGTTACACTAACTTTCACATTCCATCACCCGAAGTACTGTCCCCTACCACAAATAGAAAGCCAAATCCCCTCCAGTGAAGTAGCCCCTAAGAACCACCCTCTTCAACCTCTTTTCTTATGTCCTCATAACCGATGGAGAATACAACTCAGCGAAACGAAGATAATATTCTTCCGCTGTTTTGGTGCAACAATAAAGAATTTGATGTCGATGGTGGGTGCACGAAATGTTGCGGGTCAACATTTGGCACCGACTATATTTTTGTGACTACAGTTCTGAAATATACCACGAAAAATGTCGATTCTCACTTCAACTTTTCTTCAAGTCAAACACCCTTACCACCAACAACATTCTCTCCAACTTTATTATCATCCATCTCCTGCTCGTTATCATTAATGCTTTATGCTTTGGAAGAGAAGTAAAATATCTCGTATATATTTGAGATTTTCATGCATCCATTATGTGCTATGAAGTCCGTACCCTTTGTTATAACCAACCAGAAAGACAGGACCATTCCCTTACCTTTTTTCCCATACAAACTTTCTTGGGTTGCAACGTTTGTGGTTGTTGAGAAAAAATTAGCCCATATTTATAATATGTCTAAATGAACAAAGAAAGAAGAGAAACCAATTATCAAAGTTCATTAAAATCAAATAAACGTATCAGAGAAGTTACCGTGATAGTCAACAATGGAGCTTTTGTATTCTATCTCCAACCCAGTGGAGTAAACGAATGAATAAAAAACAAACTACGATGTAAGAAATGTGATAATAAAAATACAGCAACAATCAGAGAAGAGGAGAAAAACAAAAATCAAAAGAAAAAAGAACAAAAAGGCACGACAACAAAATACATTTATTCAGTTATAGCTATTATATATAGATATAGAAATTTCACGATTTTCATTTAAAAATAAAAAAAATACCAAAAGAAATCGGTGGAAACCAAATCCACTACGCCATCCCAAAGGTTCCCATTATCTCTTAAACCCTAGGCTACTGTGAAACTGAGTGGAACCACCGCTTTAAATGCGCCTTCTCTCTGCCTTTGTCTTTCCTCGCACACAAATCTTCAATTTCCGTCGATTCCAATCCATATCGATCCCTCACGAACCCATCTCCCCGATCCAGATTCCAATGGACGCTACCGAAAAATCTCTCCGTCAGTCCCTTTCCGAGAAATCCTCCTCCGTCGAAGCCCAGGGTAACGCCGTTCGCGCTCTCAAGGCCTCCCGCGCAGCGAAGCCGGACATCGACGCCGCAATTGAGCTTCTCAACAAGTTGAAGCTCGAGAAATCCGCCGTCGAGAAGCAGCTCCAATCCACCATCAGCAGCTCCGGAAACGGTTCGCTTAACCGTGAGGCTTTCCGGCAAGCTGTCGTCAATACCCTCGAGCGGCGGTTGTTCTACATCCCGTCTTTCAAGATCTACCGTGGCGTTGCCGGACTTTTCGATTACGGTCCACCTGGCTGCGCCGTTAAATCCAATGTTCTTAGCTTTTGGCGTCAAGTAAGGATTTCAATTCACATCTTAAGGAGTAAGAAATTGCGTTTGCTCTCTTGTTGAAATTGATTGAGAGTTTGCTCTGTTTACAGCATTTCATTCTTGAGGAGAACATGCTTGAGGTCGATTGTCCATGCGTGACCCCAGAAGTTGTTCTCAAGGCATCAGGTCATGTGGATAAGTTCACTGATCTCATGGTGAAGGATGAGAAGACTGGAACGTGTTACCGTGCGGACCATTTGCTCAAAGACTATTGCACCGAGAAGCTTGAGAAAGACCTTACCATCTCTGCTGAGAAAGCTGCTGAGTTGAAGGAAGTTCTTGCTGTTATGGAGGATTTTAACAGTGAAGAGCTTGGTGCCAAGATCAAAGAGTATGGCATCACTGCTCCAGACACGAAAAACCCACTCTCTGATCCTTACCCGTTTAATCTGATGTTTCAAACATCCATTGGCCCATCTGGTTTGATCCCCGGGTGAGTAATTCTTATTCATCTCATAATCTTGCTTGCCTGAGCTAGTTTCATTCCTGCGTGGTGGTTTATCAAGTTTTCTTTTTGTGGTTCAGTTACATGCGGCCTGAAACTGCACAAGGCATCTTTGTGAACTTCAAGGACTTGTATTATTACAATGGAAGGAAACTTCCCTTTGCAGCGGCTCAAATTGGTCAAGCCTTTAGAAATGAGGTGATTGAATTTATACTGCTTTTGCTTGATAGATTACATGCGTTTATCGCAATCTTTTTTTCTATTATGTATGGCTATTCATTAAGTAGCGTCTTACTCGCAGATATCTCCTCGTCAAGGGCTTCTCAGAGTTCGTGAATTCACGCTGGCAGAGATTGAACACTTTGTTGATCCAGAGAACAAGTCGCATCCTAAATTCTCTGACGTAGCAAACCTGGAATTCCTTATGTTTCCAAGAGAGGAACAAATGTCTGGCCAATCCGCCAAAAAACTTTGCATTGGCGAAGCTGTTGCCAAGGTCAGTAGTTGTAATCATATTAGCCTACTTAATTCTGCTATCTAATTTTATATGTTGATGCCTGCAACTGAAAATGTATTTGAACAGGGTACTGTGAACAATGAGACTCTAGGATACTTCATTGGGAGAGTTTATCTCTTCCTTACCCGCCTTGGCATAGACAAGGAACGGCTCCGTTTCCGCCAGCATCTAGCAAATGAAATGGCCCACTATGCAGCAGATTGTTGGGATGCTGAAATTGAGAGCTCATATGGGTGGATTGAATGTGTTGGGGTTGCAGATAGGTCTGCTTACGACTTACGTGCTCACTCGGTATTAACCTTACCTCTTACTTCCTTTTTCATTATTTCGTTTGGAATCTATTTGAACTTGCTTAAGTGGAATATGGATACATTGTTGTACGGCAGGATAAAAGTGGCGTTGCTCTTGTGGCTGAAGAGAAATATGCAGAACCTAAAGAAGTGGAGGTATTTTACTATTCTGCTGAGTCATCAAACATTTTTTCATATCTGTCTTTATAACTTGTTGTTAATATGTTTCTCTTTTCTTTCAGAAACTTGTTATTAATCCTGTGAAGAAAGAACTTGGTCTTGCATTCAAGGGAACTCAAAAGAATGTGGTTGAGTCTTTGGAGGTATAAGACTGACTGAAATGCTTTGTTCTTTTTAAGTCTTATCGTTTACAATAAACAAGATACTCTCTGTGATGTATTGTTAGGCGATGAATGAGCAAGAAGCAATGGAGATGAAAGCAACCCTTGAATCCAAAGGGGAAGTGGAATTCTACGTGTGCACACTCGGGAAAAACGTGAGCATCAAGAAGAACATGGTGTCAATCTCAAAGGAGAAGAAGAAAGAGCACCAGCGGGTTTTCACTCCGTCGGTGATCGAACCGTCGTTCGGGATTGGTCGAATCATATACTGTCTCTACGAGCACTGTTTCAGCACAAGGCCAAGCAAAGCAGGGGACGAGCAGCTGAACGTGTTCCGTTTCCCTCCTCTTGTAGCTCCAATCAAATGCACTGTCTTCCCGCTTGTTCAGAACCAACAATTCGAGGAAGCAACCAAAGTCATCTCCAAGGAACTCACTTCTGTTGGTATCTCACATAAGATTGACATCACTGGTACGTACAAAACAAACCATTTGAAGTTTTTCAATTGAAGTTAATGTAGAAATGTAGCAAACCGAGTTTGTGCATGTGAATGAACGACCAGGTACATCGATAGGGAAGAGATATGCGAGAACCGATGAGCTTGGTGTGCCGTTTGCAATAACAGTGGACTCTGAGACATCGGTGACCATCAGAGAGAGAGACAGCAAAGACCAAATCCGAGTCAGCTTGAAGGAGGCTGCCTCTGTGGTTAGCTCAGTCGCCGAGGGGAAGATGACGTGGCAAGACGTGTGGGCAAGCTTCCCTCACCACTCTTCTGCTGCTGCAGACGAGTAGCTCCTCCGATTATCATGGCAGAATAATTTAAAACCATTTGTTTCTTAGCACTCTTCTTTTTGTGAAAACTGAAAACCGTTTGTTGGATCTACCCATTTTGATGTCTTTTTATACTGTCTAAAAAAATCTCGATACCAGATTTGTAATACATAACTGGTTATACTTCGGTTATAAATGTTTTCCCCACATTTACAGTACAAATGCGAATTTTTGTTGGTCATGCAAACGCATACAAATCTTTTAAATTGCTGTCCAAACAAGACTAGAGATTGACTCTTTTAAGAACCACATTCCAAATAATTTAGCTAGGATGTCATGAAATATGCTTAAATAAATTTGCTCATAAATGCATTATATATACACATGACCAAAATCAGAAAGATTCGGATCTCTAGTACTCTCTGTCTCTCAAGATTCGTGCTTCAAAAACATTGAAGGAACAATGTCCTGAAGAAGACCATAATCAACAACTTGTTGCTGATGATTGCTATTATTATAACTCGAGTTAAGGTGGCTCTGTTCGTACGATATAGATCCCACCGACTGATAATTGACCGGAGGATGATTCATCATGAGAAACTCTTGCTGGTGACGTGGGAAGCTGTGGAAGAGACCGCTTCCACGGTGGCTTAGTAGATGTTCGGCGGCCAAGGGACCTCTCAACGTCGATGGGATCGGATGGTTGTGTTTTCCTTCGTAGGTTGTAACTACGATCGACGGATCCTGAAACGATCTCTCTACGCGTTTCTTCACGTTACATTTCTGCGTTGTGCATCTATAGTAACTCCTGAAAACGCGCACAACACTTTTGATTACATGCGTACATATTATGATATACATGTATATTTGGAGTGTAGTGATGAGATGTGAACCTTGGATAAGGACTGTTCTTGACGGCTTTTTGTCCATATTTTCTCCATCTATAACCATCTTCAAGATGATCAACCTCGCTCTTGGTCATAAAGGCAACCCTAGCTTCTCTTTCTTTCTTCTCTCCTTTCCCTTTGCCTTGTTTTGTCCTAATTATCCACAAAGCATGTAAATCTTTAGGGTTTCAAGTTTAAACAACGTAACTAAGATATTTAGTAATTGTAGTGATCAAGTGGTTGTAGATTTCCTGTAAAACGTGATGAAACAACAAATCCCTTCATTTATCATGTTCTAAAAAAAAAAAAAAAAACAAAAAACAAAAAAAAAAAGAGAAAATAACATATCCCTTTATCAAACAAAATTTTACTAGATTTAAAAATGAGGAACTCTGAAAGAATTTTCGGACTCATCATCATAACTCACCTTCACATTTTGATAAGGGAAATAAATGAAAGACGAACAAACTCACAATTGCTTGGAGCTTTCATAACCAATACCATGTTGGTCTTCTTCGTTATCCTCCATTGGGACACTCTTATCGCCGAGGTTCTCTTTAGGGTCGGCTTCATTGGAGGAAGAAGAGACAATTGGAGAATTCGGATTGAGATGTAAGTAAGGGTAATTCACTATTTGGCCCATATTGGACTGTGAAATCGGTTGGAAAGGGGAACAATATGGTGATGATAATTTGAAGGCCTTCTCTAGTGAGTTATAATCCATTACTAATGAGCTTTGTAAGGAATCGGTTAAGCTCGTGAAGGATACTTCATCTAAAGAAGTGTTATTGTGCTCAACAGTATCATCCATTGAAGAGGAAGACAAGGAAAAGAAGAGAAGGAGAAATGGGTATTCAACTTAGGTGTTAGGTTTTATGTGGACTTTGGGTGATCATGTCTTATAAATACAAGTCCGTTTAGCTTTTCTTTATTCGCTTGGTCTTTGGTTTCGAATATTCAATTAAGATTTTATTGAAATCTTTTTGAAACGATAGGTTTTTGAGAAAATAATTATTTGGCCTGTAGAATTAATGAATTTTATATCAAAACCCCAATCGAATATAGTGTTTGACCTGTAAGCTAACGTTTTGAACTTATGCAAAATTACTGCGACGTTCACTCGTTTTAAGCCAATCGAATATAGTGCTTGCATCAGCTACATACTAATTTGGGGGTTACAGTGGTACGTACACCATCATTGATAAACTCTCCATCTTATAACATTTTAAAAGACTACAACCTTCGTATTTTCACTTAGAAATTCCTAATATTATCTGGCTCTATGTCATTTGAAAACCATGTTTCTAATTTTCTTGTTGTTGTAGATATATTTTCTGAAGAGTGCTAATCTGTTTAAGAATTTTTGTTTCAAAGTGATCTTAAAATTATCTCGCCCACGAATTATCGTATACACTAAACTAATGCCCGCGCATACGCGCAGGTTTTTCTATTGTTATAGTTTAAAAAATACTATAAAACAAATTATGAATTTATGACTTGTATTTTGATATGATATTTAATATTATAAATTCGAAATAAAAAACCCCACAATTGAATTTCAACTTATTTGTTTAGCAATTGGCTTTCAAATATATATTTTTGTATCATACCACAAGTCACTTCAACTCTATGTGTTTACTCATCGTTACATAAAATAGATTCTAATTCCCCATCAAAGCTTTTTGTTGGATCGGTTTCTCCGTATATTAGGATAATTTATATATTAAATAATAACTTAAAATTGAAGTCCAAGAATAACAGTTTTGGAATAATTAAGTAGTTTTTGTTATAACAAGAGGATTCACTAAAGGTGACTTATTAGCTTCACATATAATAAGTTTGTACTTTGTAACTTATTACCTTCTAAACTCGAGAAGACAATGAAAAGTCAATTTTTGTTTTTTTTTAACTGAAAATTCTTATTGGCATATGTCATCTTCTCCTCTGTCCACATATTCAAAATATGAAGAGAATTGTTTTTTTTCATATATATATGATTTAATAGTGATCCAAAATGGAACTAAAATATAATAATTTAAAGTAATAAAGTGGTTTTAATTATAATAAATTAATATGTTTAACAAATAATAAAATTTAAAGTTATTAATTGAAAGGAAAATGAAAAGTCATGTCATGTGTCAAGAGCGTCCACATGTCACATATATGGAGAGAGTTGGCCCCTATTCATATATATAATTTCTCAACAGCCGTTATCACTTGTGTATTAAATCTATTAGTGTAATTCTTGTCGTAGATAAAACTTAAGTGTTCATTTATAACTGAAGGCCATCTTCAATGTATTACCCCATATTTGACTCCAAAATGAAGAAATATCAAAATAGAGTTGAGTTTTGCTCCAATGTATTGTCTCATTTTCTGTTTCAAAAAGAATATTCTAAGTATATTCTTTTTGAAAAACTTTTTATTAATTATTAAACTTACATAGTATATTTATATATATTACAAATTGCCCCATAATTGTTTTTCTTCAAAACTTTCACAATTTATTATAATTATTTAAATATTAATAATACATTACAAGACTAAAAATAACAACACAAACTGGATTTTATTTTTAACTAGAACTATTTGAATATTTCTCCCATAAATGATCAACTAAACCATTTGAATATTTCTAATAAAAATATTTTTCCTTTCTTTTTAAATTTATTATTAGCTTAAATAATTAAATTTCATATTAAATATGTGTTATTTGTATTTTAGAGTAAAAATAAATATCAAAGTAATTAATTATATATCTTAAACTGAAATAATTTAAAAGTTAAAGAACTCTTATATAAATTAAAAACTTCAACTCCAAAATAGAACTGAAAATGGGATCATCTCCAATTTCGGGAAAATTATGGCATTTTGCTATTTTGAGGTTGAAAGTGGAGTTGAGTTGGAGCAAATTTGACTCGAAAATGGCAATAAAGGTGAAATATGAGGCTGGATTGGAGATGCTCTTAAATAGACTAATGTATCTACTATTTTTAGGTGTTAAGTTTGGATGGCCAAATTTTGCTAGACAAAAATGTATTATGGACAAGTACAAAACTACCTGTAAAAGTGGTAAACCCACCAGATTTTTCCTTCAAATGTTATAAAGAATAAAAATCCAAATTTAATATATACATGATAAACCCTTAATACTAACGAAAACCGAGTTTTATCAACCAACTAGGCATACCCGAATTACTATCTGTAACAATAATTCTTACCAATAAAAAAAGATTTTTGCCAACGAAAATAGCAAATATGCATAGTGTTATTTGATTTTTTTTTTTAATCTAATATATGAAACCAAACAAATCTGAAAGAACTCAAGAGAGAAAAATTGGAAAGTATAAAGGGTCATAATTAATCTTTGAAGACTTTAATGGGTATAATATTTTTAAATATCTTTATGTGTGAAAAAGATAGGTTTGACAATTTCAACTATAAATTAATTAGCTAGAGAACTATTGAACAAAAAGTGGTTTCTATAAAGGAAACATTTAACAATATTTTCTATCTACCACACTATGCTTTGCCATTTTCCTTTTCTTGTATTTGTAACTTTATGGTATATATAGATAAATTAATTTACTTATGATTTTTTTTCTTAAATGGATTATTTTTGTCTTTTAAAAAATGAAATAAAAATCTACGATTAAGTACAAAATTCACATATTACGATACAAATAAAATAGTGCTTTTGTAACTTTTAAATTCATGTTAACATACATCACTACAAGAAAGACGGAGTTTGACGTCGGTTATACATGGGGTTCACGTGGTAAGAGAATGACGCAGACCATTGTTGCTTCACTTACAACACCGACGTTAACCAGACGTCAATTGCTGCTTCAGTTAAAAAACCGACGTTAGGCATAACGTCATATATTTAGCGTCATTATTTTGTGTGTTTAGGTCAATTCACAAACGACTCCAACACTTATGTTTATGTCATTTTTAAAACCGACGTAAATGTTAAAAGCCTAACGTCACTAATACAACTTTGTCTTGTATTTAATATAATTGTAATTTAAAACATTAGATGACAATAAACTCATAGTAAAATCAAATCTTTTATATAAAATCAAGTAGAAAATACAATGTTTTGTTTATGTATAAATGAAAGATTGACAGGAGCGTATGAATGTAATATCAAATAGAAAATACAATGTTTTGTTTCCAACTTCCCGAACGAATCCTATATATCACCTGAACATATCTCACCTGCAAAAACAAAAACAAAAGTAAGATCAGTAATCATGATTTCTAATCATTTCAGTAACCAAAAGTAAAATGAAAGCAAGACCTTTAATACATTTCAACGAAAACAGAATCTCTGTTTCTTCTAAACCAGAATCTGTATCCTAATCAAGACCATTCACATATGAGACTACTCAAACAGAAAGTATGGTTCTCTATAACTTAGCTAGCCACCATTATGCTCTTAACTAAAACAACACCACACCTTCACACACCATAACCATTAGAATTCTTAACATGGAGTTGGAGATGTGTGTACCTTCGTAGAGGAGGTAAGCTATCAAAAGCAGATGACCTACGTGGAGGATTTCTGGAGTCGAGGCTTGATGAGGACTCAGTTTCTGACTCTCTCCTTGAATTAACACCCATGGTCGTCTCTGTCATGTCTGAAAAAAAAAAAAATGTTGATCACTAAAACCTGAGAGCAGAATACAGCAAGACTAATGATACAGGTTTTACAGTGAATCATGATACTTCGAACTGCAAGAAACCTTGAAGAACATCGAGAAGGAGAGGTCGATCTCCATTTCTGTTGAGCTCATAACCATGGTTGCTACTAAAGTAGCCTAGTTCAGATTAGTACGAAAGCACTCATCCAAATTTTACTGAATGAAACAAACAACTTGATTACCAAATTGCATTCGGGTTGATAAACTTTGAGCGTGTGATTGAGTTGTGCCCAGTCCAAGTATTCACAGATTAACGCAGACAGCAACCTCCCTGCATTCCATTCAACAGTTCAGAGTGAGAACCTAGTCAATGCTCATATGCCAAGTGCACACAGTACTCAAACTCAAACTGCCAAGGCAAGACTAGACACAGTCTATTCAAATCAAAACCAGAATTTTTTCTATGTTTATAAAAGTGAACCATTAACAGAGAAAAACGAGTATACAAAAGGTATGAGAAGGCATCAGTTTCAGAAGGTACGAGATTACCTGAATCACTTTCCAAACCATCAGTTTCAGAAGGTACGAACACAATACATTCATAAAAATCAGTAGACAAAACCAAATATGAGACTTGAGAAGACCAAAGTTCACAAAACAAGTTCAAATATTCAAGAGATTCATTCACAGTCAATTAAAGCTTTCGAAGTTCAATTCCCAGATCATGAAAGAAGCTAAGCCAATATCAATAATATCATGAAAGAAGCTAAACTAGATTTCTCGTAAGACAATGCTTTATGAGAAAATTGATCATGAAATTTCACAATCAGACTCAACAAAACCAAATTTGTTGCCACTATTTCACTAGTGGCTTTCTCCCATGGAACCATGAAGAGAAATTCTTATTCTAAGATCATGAGAAATTCATATGCTCAAAACTAATAGATCGGATGCAAAACTAATAGAGCTTCAAACAACTTGATTTTGACCTGTTAAAGCTAAGAAAAGAAAATTTATAAGGATCGAAAGTTTACCTTAAATTTGCAGAGAAATTTGAGATTCGCGAGCTCTGAAACTCCTCTTAAATTTCTTCACAAATCCCTTATATCCTTGAACGAAATTCATAAGCATTGTTAGATTCAAGCATAATGTATTCTTCTTCTGTATTTCGTCATAAACACAGCTCAATTTTTAGGAAATTCAAACTTTACGAACCTGAGCTTGACCCGAAATCGGATTGTTAGCCTGAGCTTCTGGAGAAAGGATCGAAATCGGATTTCTATAAACTCGAGCAACCTTGTGATTATTGACACTGACGACGATTGCAGAAGTAACGAAATCAAATTTAGGGATGCAGAAAAACGAAAACCCCCATGATTTTGCAGAAATGTTTTAGATTGAAGGAAGATTTTTGCAGTTCTTCGCGAGGAAGAAGGATTGATTTGTTCTAATTGATTAATAAAATTTAATAAATTTAATTTTTCTTTTATTTAGCATCGGTTTGGTACCGTCGGTTTAGTAAATGACTCCAAATCCCTTCCTTTTTATTAATTTTACGTCGGTTTAACAAGTGACGTTATTTAAGTGACTTTAAGTATGGATTTCTTGTAGTGCATAGTTGGTTAAAACGACGAATAGTTTTTCTTAGATTACATTACACACTTCACATATTTTAATGGTGCTATATGTGTATGTCACTGGCTTTAATAAAAGTATAAATAAAATATAAAAGTCGGTTGAAAAACATACGTAGGTCTTCTTTGACATGATCATCACCATATGATGTTATGTATCAAATGGTTCAAGAGTTAAGTCAATATATAGTTTCTGTTTATATGTAACAAATTTAAACAGTCAGTGTTTTTCACGCACGATCTATTAGACAATATCAGAACTTGATGTCTATGTGAATGCAGAATGCACTATGATAAGGTATTTGAAAAGTCTATTTTACGCAGAAGTCTTGCAAAGGAAAATTAAAAATGTAGATAAAATAGAGGTCAAACGTATAAAAGCAATGTAGAGAATAGACATCAAGTCATCTACTTTCCAACATCTTTGCACTCGTCAAAAGATAATTTTCTTTGGTGAAACGTACGAATTATATAACTCAATTTTATATATATGCATATACACAAATCAAGTGAGTGATTAGTCTTCGTTTTGATACTTTCTGGAACCTTATTTGAATTAACTTTTTTTTTGTTACTGTAATACATATAATTGCTACCATACAAGATTAACTAATTACGTTATTGTTTAAATAAGCTTTGGAGCTACATTATTGGCGTCGATCAAAAGTCAACGAACACCACTTGTTATGTGAACAGTCAGCATCCTTCAAAGTAATACATTCACGTTCTTTAGCTTTACATTTACTTCAATAAGATAAGTGTCTAGCAAGACTTCTTCCTGGTGCACACAAAAAAAGAAGCTAGACTTATCCTGAGACGTAGAAAAAGAATCTTATCATAATAATATCATATCATAATTAAATGAAATAAAATAAATATACAAAGTGCTATATATATATTTATATATATGTAACTATTAATGAAATTTCGGACACATAAATATTATGGATGAATCAGGTAATTTGGGTTCATTATTTCAAGTAATTCACTAATTTGTGTGAACCTATATTAACCATATGATTGCAGGTTTAATTTTAGAAACATAAACGGTGAAGAAAAGCCGTGGAGGAAACTAGCACTGTCTTTGACCATAATTAGGGTCATCGAAGTCGTGCATGTCACGTGCTCTTCCTTTCATTGTTCCTTTTTTGGTTTTTACGCAAGAACATATCAAACGATTCAAACCTAATCTTTTTTGTTTCTTTCCCGAAAATTAAGCATACTGTGGCAGTACTGTGGCGTCAAATTAACCATATAATCTACCGTAGTTCAATTTGTTTTAATCTGGTTGTATTGTTTTTGTCACGATCTTTTGAATATTTGCTTACTGTGGCAGTACTGTGGCGTCAGGCGTGTGTATTGCTCTCTCTGTATAGTTTTCTTTTTTTTTGTTGCCATCTAATTCTAAAATATCAATATTCGAGAAAGAGGAAGAGAGAGTTTGAGACAAAGAAACAAGTCAATGGTAATAACCAATAACTCTAATAACAAAAACCGTAGACAAAAAAATAAGAGAAATCGAAAACCAAAAACCAGCATCGGCGAATTTAATTTAAAATTAACCATATGATTGTACATTAAATCAAACAAACTCACATGATAACTATGTGCTGAAAGACGCCTCTCGACGAAGAAAGTTTGTGTAACGACGATGGATTTTTCATAGCATAGACAAGTATGAAAGAAATCGGCCATTTTTTGTCATGCTATTTTTAAAAATTCATCGAACCGTATGATATTGGAAGCCAGCTTCTCCAATTCGGATTTCGCATCCGTTAACTTTAAATCAGAAAATTATTGTTTTACCAAAAGTTTTCAATTAAGAATTGGTCAACCACACTATGTGTATGTCTTAGAAATTAAGGAGCCAATTAGTTTCATTTATTCACATTTCGTTTTGTCATGAGGAACCCCAAACAAAAGTGATATATATACACACACACTGATCGATACACACAATTTGCTTGTCCATTAATCTGCATATTATATATAAAAAGTGTGAGCGGAAGAGCTACACCAAACAGTTTGGAAATTTTGAGCATTAATCGAATATTTGTGTAAAGTTGCTAATTAAATTTGTTCAATTACCTGATTACAAGTTACAACAGAACCGAAAAGCATCTATCAAAAAAAATAGTTCTTTATCGAAAAATAATCTAGAAGACTTGGACGTCGTTAAGTCATGTTCTGATGTTTTCTTGTTTTTTTGGAGTAAAAGGATAAATCATTTTCTGATGTTCAGAGCAGGTACTGTGATTTCGTTAAATGGCAAATTGGCAAATATTTGAGAATGGCTAGTTTTAAGAATATTTAATTGTTTAACCAATCCCATTGATGTAAAGTGTAAACAACAAAAAGTATAAAAATTACTCAGTACCCATTATTTTCGTAAAGTTAATGATATCAAATTATCAATGACTAGAAATTTTAAGTCAAAAGTCAACGTATAGCTTCAGTTGAATTTGAGATTTCAAGTTCAATATCCACCCCACTAATGACATTTTCTAATACTATAGTATATGAAGAAAAGTCTTCGCGTTTATAATTTAATAAATGGATAATTATTGTACGGATCGTAGCAGAGTTTGCTTAAAGTCTTAAACTGTTGTCTAATTGTCTTTTTTAAACCACAACCACCTTATCATTTGTACTTGGTAGAACTGCGTCATAATTTAATTGCATAGTCTACTGTCTACGCGAAAGATGGATACCGAATGATAGGACTGATTTATTCTGACTTATAGTCAAACGATGAGTCTTGTTGTGTTTGTAATTATATATCATAAATGGTTTCAGCTATTATTTCGTTTAAAAAGAAAAAAAAATGTCTCGAGCGACTAATTCATCTAAAAATTTATGAGTTATCTAGTGATTATATTATATCAAGTTATTAATTTCCAAGGAAATATAGAGTTACATTCTCTTATGGAAGTAATTATTGTACGTAATAGCTTCTCCAATAGATCACGATCAGTTGTGTGAAAAAACGGATTTCGAAGTTTCGGTTAACTCTCAGTGAGACATCATCTCTTATGAAGAACATGCAAGATGAATCAGAGTGTCTACGATCATTCTTAACAAACTCAAAACGATTTGACATACACTTGAGATTTTTGTAATTTGCATGTTCTAAACTTCGTTGACCTTTTTTTGATCCGAAAACTTTGACTATTTGTTAGAGCAGAAATTAGCACAATTTCCTGAGCCCGTCACAATTAATAATACTATGTAAGCCCGGCCCGCTTCCACTTCCACCTCCTCAAAGAAAAGGAAGTACTTGGAGAAAAAGACTACATCCAAGAAAAATAGAAGGAGATCAACGCCAAAGAAGAATATTTCCAAAAGAAATATGGAAGAATATCTTGAAGAAGCCAACCTCCTCTCCATATAAATAGAAGACCCCCTATTCCTTGAAGACCATTCAGAATCATCAGAAATTCTCCACAATCACTGAGAGCAAAGAGGCAAAACCCTAGTTATAATTCGTCCTTTGTTCTTAGCTTCTCTATTCTTTTCGTATTCGTCTCGTCAACTTTCGTCGAGACGAATCACCCCTTGTACCATCTTTGTCTTTGGTTGATCTAATAAAGAGTCTCTCCTAAACCTCACATCTCTTATCTTACTATTATTGTGTGATTTTGAGATCTAACAATTGGCGCCCACCGTGGGGCTGGAGAAAAAACTCTGAAAAAAGTCAATCAAGGTTCAAAGATGGCACCTCCAGCTGATGATCCCAGCATCAGAACAGGCGGACTGCAAAGTCAACTCGGCGCAGATGGAAACCCCATCGTCCATCCCGTCGAAGTCGACGCGACCAACGGTCACGTCAACCCTCCGCCGCCACCGGTTCCTGACGTAGAAGCTCCCGTCACGACCGCCGCGTTAACCGCCGCCATGCAAGGCTTTGCTGCTCAAATTGCTTCTCAATTCGCCGAGATGCAAGCTCAGCAGCAAAAGTACAACGACAAGATCGACTCCCTCCACGTCACCAGCGACGGACGAGTCATCCCGACGGGACGAACTCTCTTCCAGACGCCGACAAGAAGCACCGCCGCGACTGGCTCCAATGCCGCGACGAATGGTGAGAAAGACACCGACCCGGAAGTGGCCAAGCTGCGCCGCGACCTCGACGCAATCAGCTCCAAAGTGCACGACGCTATCAGCTCGTCACCCGAGATTGCCAAAATCCTCGCCGAGACGAAAAGGAGTCCTTTCACTCGTCGCATCGCCGCGATACCTCTAAAGGATCAAACGGCTCTCCGTCTTCAGTTCTACAACAATGGTGACGATCCTCGAAACTGGCTAAGAAACTTCGAGATGGCCATGAGAAGGCAAAATATGCCTCCCCCGAAGAACAAGACGCAAACTACTGTCAAGTGTTCATCGAGCACATGAACAAAGACGCGACGAGCTGGTTTTCGAACCTCCCTGCCGAGACCATCGACAACTTTGATGATCTCAGCACGGCATTCATGAAACACTTTGGCATGTTTATGTCAAAAGGCAGCACCAATCTTTTCACTATGGCACAGGGAAAAGATGAGTCTCTTCGCAAGTTCGTCGAGAGATTCAAAACAGCAGCAGCTGAGCACTCAGACATCCCCTGACGCGATAGGAATCAAGCTTTCGAAAACGGGCTTTGGTTCGAATCAAAGTTGAAAGAGAGTCTGATGCTCGACGAACCCGCAACCCTCCAGGACGCTTTGCACAGGTCCCAAAAATACGTCGTTGAAGAAAGCAAGGCGCACCACTCAAAGATTCATGGAATGACGAAGAGTTGTCATCGTCAAGAGAATAAAAGGAAACCTTCTCCCGACGAACAAGACGCGACGAAAAAGACAACGACGATAAGAGTCCAAATGGTGCTTCCATGGACGAACGATCATACTACAGAAGAATGTAGGCATCAGCATGATACAAGAGTACAACAATACTCCGCAAAGCCAAGATGATGCTGAACGCCGCGACGAAATCGACGAGCTGCAAACCAGCGCCGACGCCGAGATCAAGATGACGGACGCCGAGAAGAACGCGCCTGCATCACTCCCTCACCAAGATGATCTGCCTCCGCCGCCGAAACGGCAAGTCCGATAAACATCTCGGCATCAAACCGGTCTCAAGCACGAGACCGAGAAAACGAACTACGAATGGCTTGATCCCGGCATGGGTACGTAGGCAGCCTTTCCAAAGGTTCAGCTATACCCCAATAAAATTCTATAATCCGTCTGACGAGATGAGCATTGTAAAATTTTATTCACCTTCAAAGGTACACGTCGACGTTCTGGCCAAACCTCTCGACAACACCGATCTCGTCATCACACGAGATCGAGCGGTCTCGTCATCACACGAGCCCGAGAAAACAACCGATTTCGTCGAAGCACGATCGAGCAAGGTTGCCGAACGCGACCCCAACCGGTTTCGTCGAAGCACGATCCCGAGAAAACAAGTGTTGCCGAAGCGCGACCCCAACCGGTTTCGTCGAAGCACGATCCCGAGAAAACAAGTGTTGCCGAAGCGCGACCCCAACCGGTCGTCGAAGCACGATCGAGAAAACGTGTTCCGAACGCGAGCCCAACCGATCTCGTCATCATATACGAAATCGAGCGGTCTCGTCATCACACGAGCCCGATAAGACACCGATCTCGTCATCATATACGAAATCGAGCGGTCTCGTCATCACACGAGCCCGAGAAGACACCGATCTCGTCATCATATACGAAATCGAGCGGTCTCGTCATCACACGAGCCCGAGAAGACACCGATCTCGTCATCATATACGAGATCGAGCGGTCTCGTCATCACACGAGCCCGATAAAACCAATCTCGTCGAAGCTCGAATCCGAGAAAAATCGTCACAGCAATCTATTCTCCTTGACGAGACAAAAGAGTCATCTCGTCAAGTCCGAGAGAAATTATCAAAAGCACATTCTATTTGCGGACAAGATTACGTCACTGTACTCTTTTCCCTTCTTATGGTTTTTATCCCATAGGGTTTTTCCATATCAAGGTTTTAACGAGGCAGTGCGGATCTAAAGTCAATAACGCAACGCAGCATCACGTCAGCGCAGCATCGCGACAGCATAACACGTACTATCGCAAGAAGAGAAGCAAGACACGTGACCCATTGACTGAGAGTGAAGAAGGAGTTAGTCAACCGAGTGGATCTTCTCTTTGAAGCGGAAGGTTACAGTTAGACGGTTGTAACTAACAATTACGCATAGTTAAATAGAGATTAAGCTCATCATTAGTGGATTATGCATTTACAAGTGAAGTTTAGCTTTGAGCTAGGGAGTTGAAAGATACTCAGAGATAAGATCAGAGTGTGATCGAGATCTCGTCTCTTGTATTCGCAATCTAAATCAATACAAACGTACTATTCAGCTATACACTCTCTCTCTATCCCCAAGTTCTCTCTATCATTGGTGCGGAGGCAACGACGAATCAAACGCAGCAGAAGATGGCGCTACGACAAGTCTCTCCGGCGACTTCGGAGTGCGGCGACTTCGACGGATCTTCACAAGTTCAACTCGAATTGGACAAAATCGATCGGCACATGAAAGCGTTTCGTGAATTCCAGAAGCAATCCGAGAAGGATCGGGCAGAAGCAAATCAAAAATCCGCGAAAATGGAGCAACAAATGGAGGCGATACTCGCAATGCTCAACAAATCCACCGATCAGAATCATACACCACCGGCGACAACTCCGCCGTATTCAGCTACACCGATTCAGGTATCCCCTCATTTGGAACCAAATCGAAAAAATGACTCGCTAGGATATCGATCTGGGAATTTGAATCTAGCGAATAGAGATACGTTGTTGAAGAAAGTCGAATTGCCTATTTTCTCTGGGAAACAACCGTATGTGTGGATCATTGAAGCAGAGAGGTTTTTCCACATCGGCGGCTACACAGAGGAAGAAAAACTGGATTTGGTTGGTTTGAGTTTGGAAGGGAAGGTGAAGAAATGGTACTATTGGGAGTTACAGAGAAATGGCTTCAGAAGTTGGTCAGCCTTCAAAGACAAATTGATATTGCGATTCTCAGAATCGATTGAGGAAGCGCCAGGAAAGCGTTTATTCAGATTGAAGCAGAACGGATCAGTGGATGACTACATCACGGAGTTTGAGGAGCTGTCTTCATTAGTTCCGGGGTTGAGTGATGAGACTCTGTGCCATATCTTTTACAACGGACTAACAACAGAAATGCAAGAAGTGATTAAGATGAAGGAGCCACAGCGCTTGGAACACCACATTTCCGCAGTGTTGAGAATGGAATCCAGTGCGTTCTGCAAAGCAGTCAGTGAGAGTACAGGTTATGACAGTGGTGCAAGAGGCAAGAAACGAATGAATTCACAGAGAGCCTTGATACCGTTTGAAGGAAGAACAACAGTTATACCTCCTCGTGCACAAGGCAAAGAGAATGTTCAACCTACAGGACAACAGAGACCCAACAACGCTTATCCGATGCAGAGATCAAAAAAATAAGAGAGGATGTTGTCTGTTTCAAATGTAAAGGACCGTGGTCAAGAGAACATAGAGCTGTGTGCCCGATGCGAGAATTCCGTGTCCTGACAGTTATCAATGGACTCGAGATGGAAATTTATGAGGAAGAGGAGACTTATGAGGAGATGCATGGCCAAATGGTGCAAGTTCAGGAAGTAAGAAGTCTTTCCTTGAACTCATTCTTGGGAAAGCACTCACCAAAAACACAGAAACTTTATGGAAAGATTCGAAAGTCCAGTGTGATTGTGATGTTGGACAGTGGCGCGTCACACAACTTTATCTCTCCGGAGATAGTGAAGCGCCTAAAATTGAAATCCAGTTGTGATAGCAACCTCGACATTCTGCTGGGCAATGGACTTACGGTTCAAGGAGACGGAGTCTGTCGTAATGTCACGTTCAATCTCGCAGATGTTGACTTTAAAACGGATTTCATAGCATTAGAACTGGGAGCAGTGGATGTCATTTTAGGTGTGCAATGGCTTGAAACGCTTGGGAAATGTGAAGTAGATTGGAAGAAGCAGGAGCTATCATTTGTTCACAACAATAAAAAAGTGACTTTGATTGGCGACCCTTCTCTACATTCTCCTAAGCTATCGTTCAAAGCTATGAGCATCTTACCGACTAACACCAAGGGAAGAGAAGCACCTCTGGTGCTTAGTGGTTTGACACCCACCAGTCTTCAAGAAGTTCCGGGACCCGTTACCAAACTACTGGATCAGTTTAACGAAGTATTTGCAGATCCGAGAGGTTTACCACCGTTTAGAGGGCAGGAACACGCTATTAATCTAGCTCCGGGAGTTACAAGTATATCAGTGCGCCCCTATCGGTATCCTCATGCCACAAAAGTAGTTATGGAGAAAATGGTAACAGAAATGCTGGAATCTGGAATCATCAGAGAGAGCTCAAGCCCCTTCTCGAGCCCTGTTTTGTTGGTGCCAAAGAAAGACAATGCGTGGAGGTTTTGCATTGATTATCGCGCACTTAACAGAGCCACGATTCCTGACAAATTTCCGATTCCGGTTATTGACCAGTTGCTCGATGAATTGCACGGAGCAACTATCTTTTCCAAGCTCGACTTAAGGTCAGGCTACCACCAAATTCGAATGTTGGAACAAGATATACACAAGACTGCCTTCAGGACGTTGGAAGGACATTATGAGTTCTTAGTCATGCCCTTTGGCCTAACCAACGCGCCAGCAACGTTTCAATGACTAATGAACAAAATATTCAAACCATTTCTGAGGAAATTCGTGTTAAGTCTTTTTTGACGATGTCTTGATATATAGCTCAAGTGTGGAGCAACACGTCGAGCATCTGCGACTAGAGATGAAAGTTTTTGAAGATCAGTCGCTTTTGGCAAACAAGAAGAAATGTGTCTTTGAAATGCCTCAGGTAGAATACTTGGGCCACATTATCTCAGCGAATGGCGTAGCTACGGATACCACTAAGACAACAGCTATGCTACAGTGGCCCTCACCTAGTTGTGTAAAGGAGTTGAGAGGTTTTCTGGGATTAACAGGGTATTACAGAAAATTTGTGAGAGGATATGGAATGATAGCAAGGCCGCTAACAGAGTTGTTAAAGAAAGATAAGTTTGTTTGGTCCGAGGAAGCTCAGTCAGCGTTTGAGAAGTTGAAAGAAGCAATGTCAAGTGCTCCAGTTTTGGCAATGCCGGATTTTGATAAGGTCTTTGTGCTTGAGACAGATGCTTCAGGGTTTGGAGTGGGAGCAGTTTTAATGCAAGATAAGCGGCCGATAGCGTTTTTCAGTCATGGTTTCACAGCGAGAGAACAACTGAAACCGGCGTATGAAAGGGAATTGATGGCGATCATGATGGCAGTTATGAAATGGAAGCACTATTTAGTGGGTCGTAAGTTTGAAGTACATACAGATCAGCGAAGTCTGAAATATCTGCTGAAACAGAAAGAGGTGAACTTGGAATATCAGAGATGGCTGACAAAGTTATTGGGATTTGATTTTGACATCATGTACAAACCAGGGTGTGAGAACAAGGCTGCCGATGGGTTATCACGCATTCCTCCTACATCTGCAATGGTCAATTCTACACTACTATCACTGACAATTCCAGAGGCTCTACAATTGCAGGACCTGTATAAGGAGATTGACAAAGATGAGACTATTCAGGAGCTCATTTCACAAGTTAAACAAGGAACAGCAGCAGAGGCTTACGAGGTGATCAACGAGCGTCTGTGGTTTCGCCAACGGCTAGTGATTCCGAAAGATTCAGCTTTCATTCCGATGATTATAAGTCAGTGTCACGACAGTCAGATTGGAGGCCATTCGGGAGTCTTAAAAACAGTGCGGCGAATTCAACTTGCGTTTCAGTGGCAAGGAATATACAAAAGGGTTCAAAAGTATGTCGCTGAGTGTCTTGTGTGTCAACAGTTTAAATACTCAACACTTTCACCCGCAGGATTACTCCAACCGTTACCGATTCCAGATAAGGTTTGGGAAGACATTTTCATGGACTTTGTGGAAGGATTAACAATGTCAGGAGGCTACAATGTGATTTTGGTAGTAGTGGATCGACTCAGTAAGTCCAGTCACTTCATTGGTCTCAGCGTTTCATTACAGAGATCGTGCGTTTGCACGGATTTCCGCGATCAATTGTTTCAGATCGTGATAAGATTTTCTTGAGTAAGTTTTGGAAGGAGCTGTTTCGTTTGGAAGGTTCACAACTGAATTACAGTACCGCGTTTCATCCTCAATTTGATGGTCAGACGGAAGTTCTCAACTGATGTCTTGAGACGTACATGCGTTGCTTTGCCTCAGGTCACCCCAAAACGTGGTACAAATTTCTTTCTTGGGCCGAGCTTTGGTACAACACATTGTATCACACTGCCCTGAAGACTTCACCGTTCAAAGTTTTGTATGGGCGCGATCCTCCGACTGTTCTGAAGTATGAACCAGGGTCAACTAGTAACTTTGAGCTGGAAGAAATGTTGAAAGAGAGGGACGACATGCTGATTCAAATCAAAGCTCAGTTACAGAGAGCTCAAAGTTTGATGAAGGAATCTGCGAACAAGCATCGTCGTCATGTGGAGTTCGAGGTGGGAGATATGGTTTTCTTGAAGCTCAAGCCTTATCGCCAGCAAACTGTGGTGAAACGACTGTGTCCTAAGCTTGCAGCGCGATTCTTTGGCCCTTATACGGTGTTGGAGAGAGTAGGGCAAGTGGCGTACAAGTTAGCCCTCCCTGAAGGGTCTAAGATCCACCCTGTTTTTGATGTCTCGCAATTGAAGCGCGCACTTGGCAATGAACATGAGTTACAACCTTTACCTGTCGCTGTCACGGATCTACGGACTGTGGACTTTGAACCAGAGGAGGTGCTTGCGAAACGTTTTGACGCATCAGGCTGTGTAGAGTTGTTGATCAAATGGAAGGGTCAGCCGGATCATGAGAGCACCTGGGTTCGTTCTGCCACCTTGTTCGAGCTTTTTCCTAATGATAAGCTTGAGGACAAGCTGGTTTTTAAAGGGGAGGGTATTGATAAGATACATAACACGTACTATCGCAAGAAGAGAAGCGAGACACGTGACCCGTTGACTGAGAGTGAAGAAGGAGTTAGTCAACCGAGTGGATCTTCTCTTTGAAGCGGAAGGTTACGGTTAGACGGTTGTAACTAACAATTACTCATAGTTAAATAGAGATTAAGCTCATCATTAGTGGATTATGCATTTACAAGTGAAGTTTAGCTTTGAGCTAGGGAGTTGAAAGATACTCAGAGATAAGATCAGAGTGTGATCAAGATCTCGTCTCTTGTATTCGCAATCTAAATCAATACAAACGTACTATTCAGCTATACACTCTCTCTCTATCCCCAAGTTCTCTCTATCACAACCATGCACTCCCTGGTTCCTCCGACTCTTCAGGTCCTTCCGTCGACGACAGCAACAAACGCATCGACTAAATGATCCAGTTCCGCGATCGGAGGCTCAGCGAGAACGGCAATTTCGATGGGATCAGAGCGGAGAATGGTGACGGCTCAGATTCTCTACCGGAATTCGTTGGGAAGTGTGGTGGAACCAGGATCTTCAAGGTTCCGATTAGGTCCGCTGCGCATCCGAATCGGCCTCCGAGCCTTGATTGGTAAGATGCTTTAGTCAATGCTGGATTCTCATAGATGCTTAGGCTGCACCTCTGTCTCTTCGATCCTATTAATCCCGCAACCTTCCCATCTATCTTAGGTTTCAAGAACTGGTGTTGAATCGGGATGATGCGAATAATGGTGGACGTGGAGAGATGGAGCTTGAAGGAATCCAAACTAAAACGATTGAAGTAAGAACAAGAAATTTGGTACCAGCCTATGGTTATCTCCGATCTCCTAATTCCCAACAAGTGACAATAGGGTAAGCTTTCTGGATCTGATTAGTGATTAGACTCCAAACACTTTGTTTTTTTTGTTTCTTTTGTCTTTATCTCTGTCACAGTTTCTTGACGCTTAATATCATGCCACAGATCCTTTCCGAGTCCAAGTAGCAGTTCCCAAGGTGACCAAATGGCTCCTCTGGAGGGTCATGGAACAGAGACTGAGCATGGAGTTGTACATAAGAAAGAAGAGAGCTTGGGATCAGAGGGTCATGGAACAGAGACTGATCTCGGGGTTGTACATAAGAAAGAAGAGAGCTTGGTATCAGAAACAGAGAGCTGAGCTCAGAAGAAGAGTCCGAAAGCAAGCCTATAGATAATGCAGAGGAGAAGGATGATGATAGTGAAGATGTGGATAAAGAGGATTCGGATTAGAAGAAGGTGATGTTGTTTTTGGTTTATTTTCACCACAAAACTCAAGCGTAACACAGCAGAAGAAGAATGGAAAATTGTATAGAAAAAAAGAAAATAACAATTGATATATCTTCTTAGATGTAAATAGCAACATACGTTTCTTTTGTTACGGATCATTATTGACCCTTTAGCAACATAGCTTTGTTACATACATTTCTAGAGTGATTATCTGAATCTACCAAGTGTGAAGATATATTTCATTAGATGAATCTACCAAACTATTAAACTAAAAACTTTTATTAGATGAATTGTGAATATATTTGTAACTCTTACAAACATACCAAAATTTTGGTCCATGTGAAAACTATGGCATCGCTTTAGGTAATTCTATCATCATGGAATGGAGATATATGATGTTTTTTTTTAATATGTTTTACAACTTAGTTTCAATGAATTAGAGAATAACATAAAACTAAAAGTTGATGATCCATTCTTTGTGACTTTCATTCTTCTAAATTACTTTCATTCTTCTAAATTAACTCAAAATCTAAAATAACTGATTACTTAACTGAATATGCAAGAGTTTCACTTATTTTAGACTCAACATCATTCACATAGTTCTGCCAAATTTTATATGATGTCGGAAATGCAACCCAAAAGTTGTAAAAGAGAGGAAATGAAACAGTCGTCGGGTCACATAAATAATGAAAAAAATTCAAGATTCTAAAAAAACATTGTGTCAAAGAGTCTATTATATATATAAATATTTTAAAAACAAATTCTACAAACATGAAAATAAAAGATAAATGAAAAAAGTAACAACATTATCCGCGCATTGCGCGGGTTTTAACCTAGTAACTCATAAAGATGGAGTGCTTCAATCCTTCTTCACCACCAAGAGAAGTTGAAATATTTATTTGAATAATTCAAAGTTGTAGGATTGAGCATTGATTAATCATCAAGAAAAGTTAAACTAAAATTAGCCAGAAGAGAAAAAAATGACAGAAACAGAAAATCATTTTTCTTTTTCTTTTTCTAATAATATTCAAATTTCAAAAGACAATGCTAGGATGGGAGAGATAGAGTTTAGTTCACAGAGGAAATGCGAAAAATATATATATAATGCAGAGTTTCAGATGACTATTATCTCGTCCCCAAACATTAGGAAGATCATCAAAGATTCAATCACAATAAACACATTCCACAGTAACATTTAACATCATCTTAGTGAAACTCACAAACTCAAGAGTGAGATCTCCATAGATACACACAGCACATGATAATGTTCTTCCTCCTAATCGTCATCTACACCACGGCGCCTCTGGATCTGTAAACGCAGCAGCCATTATAGACTTAGCACTCAATGATATTATCGACCGTTAGCAAGGCTTATAATGCTTAAATTAGCTTTTTGCGTTTTCAGGATTGTGTGTCCATACCGTGACTTTTGTCTGTTTGCTAGTTTGGCTGTTTATCTGTTCCAACAGCGTTATCAGTCGCTCCTCAGAAACCTGTCAAAAAGAGTATTTCAATAACTCTTACATATGTAACATTACGAACTATGACAAGGAAAAAAAGAAAGTGGATTTTCTTTACCTTCTCAACGATCTGTCCCATTTGAGCAGCCCTCAAAATAACATCCTCTACACCTCTCGCTTTCTCAGGTTTCACCAAGGCAATTCGAGCGACTATAGACATAAGAAGAAGAAAGAGAAGCATAAGAGATATACTTTTAACACCAATATCGATGACAGTCACGAAGAAACAAGGAAGAGGAGCTAGATGGAACTTACTTCTCTCTCGGGCTTGGGAAGACAATATTTGACTAAGCATCATTTGTCTACGTTCATCAGCTTCCCTACACGAATGGTCCAATCAGAGAATAGGGTTAGTTCAAAATCCAACGTCTTTGTCAACGAGTAGACAAGGACGAGACACACCTTTTAGCATCTTCTTGTGCTCTCTCTTGATCTGGATTCTGCTGATTGCCTGGCTTCCCCTGCTATTTAAGTCGGTGCACAATGAATGAGTCACAAAGTGCAATTTTTTTTCCTTTTAAAAAAAAACAAAAACAAATCAGACATAAGAGAAGTTGTTAAAAGTTACTGTGCCATGTCGAGCCATGAGCTCTTGCATTCTCCTCTGCCTAATAGCTTCTAGCTCAGGATCGGCCTACACAGGAGGCAGTAAAAAAGGGTCAGATATAATATGAACATTAAACATGCAATATTACAACTTTTTGAAGAAGAAGAAGAAATATATTTCAAGTGCCATGATTGCTGAAACACTATTCAATCAACAATCGACAGACAAGAGCCATTTTTGTGCTACTAGATCGAAGCACGTATAATTCATAGTATGCCAAAGTGCGATGAAAGTAGCCATATAGAGATGAGCGTACTAATTAATTCATCACCAATTCGATCAAAGCGAAAGAGCAATATCTAAAGCTATTAAAGCTCAAGAACCCCTCCGAATCATTTGGAGAAAAACAAACAAGTAGATCCCAATGGAGTTTGTACAAAGAGAAGCTCGGGAATAAGTGAAAATGTCTTAAAACAATTTACAAATATGGATGCGAACTTCAACAGTGAATCACAAAAGGCACAACGAACTAAACAGATCCACCCAGATAGGAATACTGATTCAAGCCCTAAAATAACAATCAGAAGAATTTGAAACGCCTAAGCTATCAAACTAACCCCTGATACTTTGAATCTGTTTCCCATGGCATATACTTCCTGTTTACTCGAGAAAAAGATTGAATCTCAGCTTAAATCATGAACAGAAGAACCAATCATACACAATCCGTTCAAAATTCAAATTCACGTTCCAGTCAACAAAGGAAGAGGTGAAAAATCATTGTTACGAAAGCAACTGAATGAGACTTCGAATCTCGATGAAAAAAGTGCCAAAAACCCTAACAAAATTCGAGAGAGCAAAAAAAATTGGGGGAAAACAAAAGTAAAATTGGAACAGTTTCGAGAAGAAATCTTACCATCGGAGCAGTCGTCTTCTCTTCTTTCCTCTGGCTAGCCAAATCGATGATATTGCGATTACGCCTCACACCTCAAAATCCAACAACACAGAGCCAAACGTAGCTTTTCTAAGACGCGCTTCGCCCATTTTTACATATTCCCTCCATATGTTTTAGACTCATTACAGTTATAACCTTAAACTTATGATTTCTAACATTTAGCACCCTACCCAAACGTAGCTTTTTTTAAGACGCGCTTCACCATTTTTTACATATTCCCTCCATATGTTTTAGAGTCCTCACAAATGTAACCTTTAACTTATGATTTCTAACATTTACCCCCTCACTTCCACCATAGAGATTAAATTCGGATACAAACAGGTTTTAGACTCACTTCCACCTTGCACTTGGATACAAACAGAGATCTAACAGGTTATGTTTATCTTGGCGGTTAAAAAGATCTCGTCCTTGTTGTACTCTCAGAGTGACTAATGTAAATGCCTTTTAAGGAAACAAGAAGACTCTTTGATATGTATCTAAAACATGAAAGATCTGATTCAAGTTTTCTTTACTGGATGAGTATATACTCAGTGTCAAACACATCTCCAGCAGTAGGAGACAAATTGTTTCTCCGGACTTGGGCATGAGTCTCTGCTTCGTGTTGAAATATCTTGACCACACCTTGTAGCTCCAGCTTTCTAACTTTCACTTGTTCTTCTGTGATGGGCTTTTTGAGCCCCAAGTATACCAGACCGACCGCAATCAGAACCGCTCCAATGAGAACCATGAGCAGAGTGAACAGACCAAACGCGTACGGCGTGTTCTGAGCACCGGGGATGCCATCCACGTTGATACCAAACAGTCCCACGATTATGGTTAGCACAAGACCACATCCTCCAAACACGGCTAAGTTATGGCTCACTCTGAGGCTTTTGTCCTGTAACCAAGCACGGACAGTGCTTTGCATGACATCTTGGATTGTGAAGAGACGTCCACGGACTGCTTCTTGTTCCTCAAGCATCTCCCTTGTGTTCTTCCTCAAAGCTTCTAACAGATGCCGAGCTATGTTTCCTCTCAGATGCTGGAGAAGCTCAAATATAATCTCCTCTCTTGCGTGTAGTGACCACTTCACTCGGATGACCTGCAATGATTAAAAGAAGACTTCATGTTCATGAGCCATGACTATAGTTCGATATGCGTCACAAGCAAACATCAACTTAGGCCATACAAACAAACACAAGACCAGTCATTTCCATTTAATTCAAATTAAGGCTTAGCTGCAATGAAGAGAAGATGATGACCTGTCTTGATAATTTTCTGATTTCTTGGTTGAGAATGATACTGAAGAGATTTACATCCTCATGGTTTCTCCTAATAACAAGAAATCATCACTTTATGTTACTTAAACATGAATATTGTGAGTTATCCTTAACAAACGGAGGATACATATCTGTGAGAACCTGTTCATAAACTTCAGTTCGATTTCATCAGCAGCGCCAAATATGGATTTACGGAATAGCCTATCACCAATCAAGAACAAGAAAAAGAACCTGTTAGAAACATTCCAGACAATACCAGAAAATTAAGAAAAGCTATCATTTGTCACCTATCATCCCATCGAGAAAGACGGCAAGCCAAGTGTGCTATGACTTCATGAACCGTTCTTGGTACATTATAACCTCCTGCATAAAGCAGCTCCTATAAGGCAAATCAACGCAGGTCAGTAATAGTATCCTATGAAAGGCCTGTGTTATATTATAAGTTTAAAGAATCTTATTTTGACAGTTTGAGAACGAACCTCTACTTCAGTGACACCCAAGACATTGGTATTTGATACATTTCCTTTTACGTGCATCACAGTCACCAGGAAGTTTTTAGCTTGCCAAGACCGGAAAACAACGGGGACATCATCCTCACTGATCACTGGATCACCAACTGATTGTCCTAAAAGCTCAAACAATAAACCTCCAGCAACCCTCACTGGAACCTAAAGTTAGAGAACAACATCCAAGAAAGCCATCTCAAACCAAAACTAAATGAAACACTTTACTATGCTAAGAGACTATCAGCCAAAAACATGAGCTAATATTTAAAATGTGGCTAACACTTGACTCTGAAATTGCATATTTGAGTTGAGATTTAAGTTGTATACCTCATACAGAAGGTGTCTCATCCGTTCACTTATTAGCTTGCTCTCATCCCTCAACGCAAGACTAATAGCAGGATGCAACCATGTAGCATTTCTGAGCCATGTTTCAACAGAAGAGTGTCCAGCAGCCATATGGCACCACCATGTAGGTCCGCCTGGTCGTTCCCAGTAAGGAGCAGCTAAATCTGTGACGGGTACATCCTCTTCATCATCCATTAACTCCAAGTTAGGCCACTCTGCGTTCACTTGCACCATTTGAACCAGCTCAGTTATTCTAGCCCAACCAATAGGTACCCAACGACTTCCGTCATATCTCTCAGCTTGTGCTGTTGGAAGCACATGCTCATCTTTCAAATCCAAAGAAGATACCGACCTTGACCTTATATTATTGACTGCAGAGGAATCAAGAAATGGGTTATAACCAAATCCGGGGGAAGGAACTCTGGTTGGTCCATCTTCTTGCTTCAAGTGATGAACATCCTTTGAATCAATATGCTTCTTTGCGCCTCGGATGAACTCAAAGGCGCAAATAAGCCCATCAGTCCAAAGATCATTCTTGGGGACGCTTGTATGGTTTTTACTCTCAATCTTCTTTGATATGCTCTCTTGAGAGACTGCATGATTCTCTCTGTTCTCTCCCATGTTCGTATCACTAATAAGACAGAGAAAATAATTCACATGAGAATCAAGGTCAATTTTCTCTGAAAATGAAGAGCACCAACAACAACCACACCAAAACAGCATTTTTTACGCAACGAAGACTAGAAGTCTACATGCAATTAACGAAATCAGATAACGAAATAGCGCCAATTTCAAAAATCAGGATGCGTCTTCAATTAGAGTACCTTATCGTAGGTTTTGGGCAAAACCCAGGATTTATAACTAGAAATCGCAAGATCAGGGATTTACAATCCAGGTTTTGGCAAGTTGCGCACTGATTTGTAGATTACGATTCTAAAGCAGAAACGCTTCACGAACCGATCAATTCACATTCCAAGTTCAGAAGAGAGAAAGACGTGAAAATCTTCGTCACGAAGGAACAGAACAAAAAAAAAAAAAAAACTCAATGCGAACTCTAACCAAGGCGTAATCTCGAAGAAAAAGTGCTCACAGACTCACAGTCACAGCAGTAAAGAATTCGAGTTCCCAAAGATTGAAATTTGGGGAAGAAAAGGAAAAGTAAAGCGAAACAAGTTCAAGTGCTCACCATAGAAGCGGTTTTCTCTTTGTTGCAGCAGATGCGAAATCCAATACTGAGAGTTTAGCAATGAGAAGAAGAAAGCTTAAAAAAAACAAAAAGAATAGTTAGCTTTTGAGAGACGCGCTTAATCTATTTTACATATTTAGTCCCCATATATTTTAGAGCGTTACACATTTAACCGCATCATATACCGCCTTTACCGCCACCATATTGTTCTACAAGCTGCACGGACGTCACAGACGGTGATGATTTTAAAGACCATTGTGTCAAAGATTTGAATTTCAGTAACTATGTTGGGTCTAAATTTACATTTTTTTTGGATAAAAAAAATAGTGGCAAAGGAAGGATATTTTTATGCTAGGCTTGTAATTTATAATGTGGGTTTGATATTTTTTCTTGTTTAAGATTCTTGTTATTGTTGTGGTTGAATCTCAAGAAGTAAAACACATCCACCAAACCACTTTCACTAACGGAAGGCACAATTGCAGATAGTTCCTCAAATTCATTCACGTAGTTTGTGACACCTCTGGTTCGGTCTATGAATAGAATAAACCGCATATGCTAGAAGTGTTGAGGTTCATAAGATAGGCTATTTTGGGTCTAAGAACAAATCAAATGCCAAGTCAGCTAATTCAATGAATACGACCCTCTCGACCATCGGTTAAGGCTTTGCAACCTGCTCCTCTAGTCTTCAGTTGTGTTAGCTCTGGACAAAAGGTAATATCATTCGAGAGACTAGATTTGTAAAAACATAACTTTATTAACCTTTTCAAAATATGTTTTACAAAAGTTTATACTACTTTGGCGCCAAGGCCTAATGCCCAAAATGGATATTACATATAATAACCTGAAATCAAGTTTTACAAAAGCCAAACCAATCTATTCCGGTCTTCAGCTGTTCTGCCTCCCGTCCACGGGAATTTACTAAGGGTTACTTGTAAGACAAATAATCGATATGAGTAACCTAATGTTACTTAGAGTTCAGGACCCTCTATACAATGGTTAATCTCCAAACCAAAACCCTAAAAGAAAAAGGCGGGATCTCATCCGCCACCTGCAAACACAAAGTCACAATAATGCAATAATGATGCTATAGTCTCAAGACTAACCATATCCCAATCAAACAAGAACAAGTACAATTAATCCAAGGCTATAACATCAGTCAAACAAGCAATCAATCAATCATGCAATCAAACAATCAAACTAAATGCAATCAAGCAATCTATATGCAATGCAATCCTATTCAAGTAGCCGAATACTTGACTTCTACATGCAGTGAGGCCTCTAGCTAGGTGCATCAGCCACATTCCGTATCCCAATGAAGCACTGCACCTAAGAATCACACATTCCAGGCCAGTCTTCATCCGACAAAGCACTGCACCTGCAAAACACACAGTAACCAGGCCAGAGCTTTACCCCTCCGATCCTAGCTTTACTCACTAGCACCTCGGATCACCACATTGTCATGCGGTACTCAGCCAGGGAAGCTACCCCTTCTCTCTAAGTCTTCTATCCGTCATGAACCGAGGGTTACTCGTGCTCAATCGATACATGAAGCAGTGGGAATGCTGACTACACCATCCTAGACAACATGTGGATATTACTCACCACATGTTCTCCGTACTTAGCATATGGGCCATTATGCACCACCATGCCTCGTACCACACCTGAGATTTGGCGGCATAGCCCTTCATAATCTCACACCACTGATGCATAGATATGCATCTACACAAACAAGATATGGCGGCATAACCTTCCCCGAAGGTTGCCCATCACAATCTTACACACAAAAGAGATCTGTCGGCATAACCTTCCCCGAAGATTACCTGACACAACCTCACACACCAAAGATATCTGGCGGCCTAACCTTCCCCGAAGGTTACCCGACACAACCTCACACAATAACATAAAGCTGCATAAACACTCAAGAGATTTGACGGCATAACTTCTCGCCCTAGAAGATTACCCGTCACAACCTCACAAGACATCACAAACATCACAGAATAGTCACGAACAAAAAGAAGCTAAACAAAGAAAGTTATACCAAAACCTTAGCAACTAGCCTAACTAAACATAGAGGAAACAAAAAAAGAATAATTAATACGAGCATAAAGAATAAGAAGAAACATAAAAATAAAGACAAAGATGTCAAAGAAGAACAAAGATAAAACATAAACCAAAGATAAACAAAGATGAAGAAGGAGGCCGAATAACGAGATAAGAAACGACAAAGACAAAGAAACTGAAGAAGAAGATGAGGAAGCGTAAAGATGAAGAAACCAAAGAAGAAGAAAAAAAAAAGAAAAAAATTTAAAAAAAAAAAGAAGAAAACATCGGTTCACGACAGTTTTCATGACCATGCTACTAACTATGCCTGAGAGTTTGGGTTTGAGTTTGAGTTTGAGTTTGAGTTTGGGTTGGGTTTCGGGTTTACATATATAGAAACCATTGAGTTTTTTTTTTTTAAGTTTCGGTTTGGGTTTCTTCCAGGTATTTCGGGTTTTATTGAGTTTTTTCAGATTTTTCGGGTTTTGGAATTTCCGGGTTTAAGATATAAAAATTGTTCGAGTTTTTTTATTTTTCGGTTTGATTCGGGTTTTTCGGGGCGAAATCGGGTTTCAGGTAAAAGTCTCATGCCTACTACTAACGACAAAAGCTCATGATAAACGATTTTAAATCAAATTATTAATAGAGACCTAGTTGAGAATTAAAGGCAGATAGATTTGAGAAAATAGAAATGGAGCTTTTACAGATCAGCCCCATAAGCATATGTTATTACAAAATTAATCGTACATTGATTCTTTTGTGGCATTGATCCCCACAGCTCCACCGTAGTCGTCCATTGACATAAAATTCTCAACCAGATTCTCTCTGTTCCGCCACCGATGAGTCGGCTCTTGCTGCCTACAATTTTCTCAATCTCTAGAAAACAGGTGAACCAAATGATCTCTCTGTCTTCGTGCATGTATATCTGGATTTTCGTGTGTTTACCTCTCACTTTCAGGTTCCAGCTGCATCATTGTTCCACAATCTGTACGGACGTCACAGACGGTAATGATTTCAAAGATTTTGAACTTCAGTAACTCTATTGGGTCTAAAATTACTTCTTTATTTGGGAAAAAAACAGTGACAATGGAAGGATATTTTATGCTTGGCTTGTGATTTGATATGCGTTTGTGTTTCCGTTGGTTCTTATTCTTGTGGTTGAATCTCAAGATGTGAAATCTAATTCCCTGATTTTGCTAATTCCTGGATCTTCGTGTGTACCCTCATTTCCAATCAAATGACAATGAACTTGTTTCTACTTTCGGTGTATTTGATGTGATTCTCCATTTGTGATAGACTTCAAGTTTCTCATGGATGTAAAGATGAAAGATTTTTGCAATTTTCTTGCAGCTTTGTTCATTGGATTAGTGACATGTCAGAGGATAGTGAAAGATCATCCACAACTGGTGGCTCTGCTTCTGGAGCTAGAACATTTTGCTCCCTACAAGGTAGAGCTAATTTGGTATTTTGAGATTCCAACATTTTTTTTATTAGGTCGTTCTCTTAATGGTTAGAAGTTTTGGAGGGTATTGAAGTGAATGGTTTGCTCTTTTTTCTCTTAGATTTAACAGCCAAAAAGTGTGTGCCATGCAACGCTAAGGATCTGCGTCCTATGACCGAACAAAGTGCTCAAGAACTACTTCAAAAGGTATAATATTTGCACTTTGTATTATGGCAGATGTGGTCTATAGTCTCTATTTTTACCCTCCTCAAATTATTCCGTTTAACACAGGTTGCTGGATGGGATTTGGCTAATGACAATGGTACATTAAAGCTGCATCAGTCATGGATAGTGAAAAGTTTCACAAAAGGACTAGATTTCTTCAAACGTGTAGCTGATATTGCTGAGTCAGAAGGTATAATCTATATCAGCAGCAATAACCATTCTCATAGAAAAGATTAAACAAAAGATAGTGAAAAGAAAGATCCGTTACTAATTTGTCTGAAGCATGGACCTATTTGATGCAGGTCATCACCCAGATTTGCATCTAGTCGGATGGAATAATGTAAAAATCGAGATATGGACACATGCAATAGGTGACAACCTTGGTCTGTGTTCTTGTCCATATGAAATGCCTGAACCTGAAACATGTTTCTGATTTCTGGTCATATCTTTGCACTCAGGTGGTTTGACGGAAAACGACTTCATTCTAGCTGCTAAGATCAACGAGCTCCAAGTGGAAGATCTTCTGAGGAAGAAGAAAGTTTCCAAGTGAAATGGCATAAACATGAATTCTGCAAGCTAGTTGTGGTTCAGAGTCCGCCATTAATAAGCGTCTTGAGCTCAATGATGGGATGTGTTGGTCTACAAACTCTGTCAAGCAAGCTTTTGATTTATGCAAGATGATAACAGATGAGCTAGAGAGAAGATTTCGATGTTTCTTTGGCGTCTATGGTTCATGGAAAGCTGTTTCTGGTTTTACAATCTCAATACACACAGATAACTACACAAGGCAGTGACTTTAAGTTTGAAACAATCATCTTTCCATAACGTATGTTTATTTACAACCACAAACTAACCAGACTTCCATAAATTATTTACATTCAAGAATTTGCATGAATCTATACAAAGATTATTGTCATGTTTCCAAAGAGTGAAAGCCAGTTCAAGGAGTTTCAGTCTTCAGAAATTGTTGGATACCGAACAGTTTCACTGCACATCAACAAGAAATTCTCCATGTCAACTTCATTTCCAAAAGTAAGAAATACAAATAATCCTTCAACTGTGTTAACATCACCTGCCCATCTTCTGAAACAAATCACCAAGCGCACGGTAGAGTGGAGCAGCAGCGGGCGGTCTAGGCAAAGAGCCAAGGAGGATGTCAGGCGCAGCGAGGGACTGGCTCCCGTAGAACCTTGAGTTCTCACTTGTACGTGTTGTGAAGATGCTTCCTTCAAGCGAGCATCCAACAAATGCACCTGTTCATTTAATTAACAGGACACTAAGCAAGGTAATTGCAGCCAACAAAAAAAGGAGAGAATATACAGATAGGTTGGTACACATGAATGAAATGGATACCTTTGCTGCAGCTGTAGGTATAGCAAGCGGCATAACCACCACTACCTGCTCGGATATCTGCTTCAACAGCTCGTCCCGTCACACCAACCGCAGCGCTTAAACCAGCTCCAACAACAAGATGGGTGTTACTCCCAAACGTCCGTATGGCATCCCGAGTTCTCAGGACAATAATAAAGTCTATGAACTCTCCTCCTGCCTGAGCACCCCATCCCAAACCAAATGAAGAGATGGCTGAAGGTGGAGACCAGGAACCATCATCTCTACGAGCAACCACAAGTCCAGTCCCGATTTTATACGTAACCATAACTCCAACTCTCGCAACAGTGATTACCGCAAGACCTTTCGCTTGTCTTAGAATCGCATCTGGGATTGACCTCTCAGCTCTCGAAGAACCAACCTGATGAGAGATATTTTCAAATATAAAACATGTTTTTTTCAATAACAAAAAGTGATATTTGGTAAACACTAAATTTCTCACATTGGAAATATAACCACGAATAGTGTTTGTTGCCTTGTAAATCTCATACTCCATTGACTGCCCCCATGGAAAATTCACCCAAGACCTCAACGTACTAAGATCAGTCAAGTCATACGTCGGAAGCTGAGCAGCAGGACTCACTTGGTCCATCAAATAAGGCTGCACAGACTCCAACCTCACACAGCAAACATCACAAACCCTTTGAGGGTCCGAGACACGAAACTTCACTGGCAACAAGCTTCTTCCTTTAGAACAATCCCTACAGAACAACCCTCCACAGTATCTACAGTGATGACGCGAACACATAATCGGATGAAACCTCACGCTACAAAGCATACACGCAGAGGCAGCACTATCCGGTAGCCACTTGGGCGGCTCTGTTTCAAGAATCTCTCTCGCGTTGCCAAAGTTGGCTTCAGTGAGTGTCTCAGCCATATCTTGCCAAGCTTGCTCAAGAAAATGTCCGGAGAGAAACGAAATCCCACATCTCTCGAGATTCCCTGAAGTAAGAGCGTTCGCTTTACCACGTGCTGCGAGCAACATATCAACTATGACATCCCACATCGTTAACTCTTTCTCCTCATCGACAACGAACTCGTTCCATCCCATGTCTCCCTCCGGGAAGTAACCGCCGTTGAAACTGAGGCCTCTTGACCATTCCTCGTGATCAGGTTCTAACATCGGTGGGACTGAAACAGGTATCCAAACCCCGGTTTCTTCAGAGAGTGGCGTGTCGTAGAAAAAGTATTTACCACGCTTTTGTTCATCTGGTTCATGTTTTTTGCTCTCGCCATCACATAAGGTGGAATCTTCTTCTCTGTTCTCTCTGATGCTTTGATTCAAGACATTACTAGCATCAGAGACACCACGAATTTCTCCAACTCTTTCATCCTATGATCATTGATGAGATAAAAGAAAAAAAATTAGCAAACCATTTCGAGCTTCAAATTCAGAACTTTTAACTTAACCTAGTATAGTTTTCGTTTGATCCAGAGAATGATAAATCCAAATTCAGCTGATGATCATTGAAAAACAAAAAAAAAAAAAACTCGAAAAAAGAAACGAAACGAAATGAAAATTCAGAACTTAGCCAGATAAATCGAAGAAGTCGAAGAAAGTAACGGAAATTTCGTTACAATCACGAAAGAATTTTGAATAAAAGTGAAAACCCTAGAAATTAGGAATGAAATGTAAAATTGAGAGTGGAATCGCAATCGGTAAGCGTAAATCTCACCATTTTCTAGACTTGTTCCTTCTCTCGCTTGCGAAGCCAGAGTCTCGTTTGATTGCTTACAATTTCAGTTCTTTTGGGGAAACTCAGAAACACGACTTTATACAGGAAAACGATTACAAGTTATCACCGTCGGTAACCTTTCTGAGACGCGACCACATCATCATCAATTCATCGTATACAACCAACTATCCTTCCTCTGTTTTACATTTTAGTCCTCATATTTTTAAATTTCTTATAAATTTGACACAAAATTTCGTTAGTAAATACATTTACACCAGTATTTTAAGGAGAGACTGCAACCAGGTGAAGGCATGAATCTTATTCACTGTCACGGACACATTTTCTCAAACCGCAGTGAAACTCTTGCAAAATAGCGTCTTAATTTATACAGTAAATTAGCAGGCAAGTGGAGAGTGCGAGCTCATCTTGATTAAGCATTTGATAACTCAAAGATCTTGCATGCAGGAGAAGCAAAACCAAGTAAAAAGACCATTCTTGTCTACATCTGTAATCAGCCTTTGTCTTATGAATAATATGAATGCATATAAGCTATGACAGAAACAACCAGAAGAAGCCATAAAATATGTATACCACCGTTTAACAGTTTCTCTAACAACAATAGATTAAATTTTGGCTTAAATTCCTACTTCTTGTTTTGCAGAAATAACACATTGTTGCTTGCTTGTGTTCTTCTTACAGCTGGAAAAAAGATTTATAAATCTGGAATTTTTTCCAAAAATCTTCAACAACAGTAAACTGTTTGCTACAAACACACACGAGAAAAGTGCCCTGCAAAACAACCCACAACTTTGGATCAGATGTGTGAAACCAGAAACAAAGACGCAATGATTGAGTTTCATGTGACCGAGCTATAGAACAAGAAATGGTTCTTAACACAGACTAGATGGCCAAGAGCAGTTTCGCTTATCGTCGCTACTAATACACAAGCCGGTCACTGAGAACTTCTATTTATCATTGAAACATGATGCTTCAGAACCTATAAGGGTATTATATAACTAGAGCAATATATTGATTCGGAGCAGTAGCTAAAAGTTCTTTGATTGATTGTTCTTACTTGTTAGTGAACCAACGTAACAATTCCGCATCTCTAGTTTAAAAGAAACCTAAAAACAAAGTCTAAATAAGTTGCAATGTTCATCGCAACATATCAATGAAAGCTTACATCTACACTAAAGTCAAGCCACTATTATAGTGTGAATCATTTGATTACATACTTCTCCAAAGCTAGAGCATGTACTTGAGAATTGTACCAAAATCCCAAAAAATGAAGAATGTACCTGAAAAAGTTTAATATCATCTTGCAAGAGGTTTTTGAAGCAGAGCAGTCAAGAAAACTTCACCATGTTTGGAATCCATTTTGTTGGCCACCGCCCATTTCACCTTCTTGTAACCCAATTTCCCGATCATCGGCGCATAGACATTCTCAAGATCGACTTTTTTGCTAAAGAACCGATCCAACCAGAGATACCCACCGCCACGGAGAATCCGATCCAGATCGAAGAAGAAGAATTCCATCACCGTCACCGGAATCCACCGGTTCACCGCACGTCCACACCTGACCAAATCCACCACGCCGTCGAACACCGGAAGCCGCTGCTGGAGAGGCACGTGAAGCGGCACAAGCCCTCTCAACGCCACCGCCTCGCTGTACGGCGCGTTGAAATTCATCGTCGTGGTGAGGACGGTGACGTTGCGAGCCTTCATAGCTGCCGCGAAAGATCCCGTCCCCCCGCCGATGTCGATCCCGAGTCGGAGCACGGAATTGGCGGATTTGGCGATCTGGAGGAGCTGCGAGATCGGGAGATCGAGCTCCGATTTGTAGGTGGAGAATTGAGATTTGGATTTCTCGAGGGAGAGATCGAAACCGAGATCGGGGAATTTAGCAGTCAAGCAATCGAACGACTTGCACGAGTAGTAAGACCAGATGACATTCGTTTCCGGCTTGGAATCCGTCGGATTTCGCGGTGTACGAGAGAAGCAGCGACGGCGAGGGAGTGGGTGGCAGCCGCGGAGGATGAGCTTCTCGACTAGATCGGTGTCGGAAGGGCAAAGGGAGAAAGGAGTGTAGTTCATGTACTCGTGGAGAAGGTCAGGGTAGTTATGGCAAGCGGAAGCTATGGGTGAGAGCTTAGAGTAGAGGAGGAGATCTTTGGGCGCGGTGGAGGAGGAGGAGGAGGAGACGGCGGCGTGTGAAGTCACGGACGATGCAATTGAAGAGGATTTGTCTGGTTGGTGGCTGGTGAGGTGGTTGATGGCGGCGCGGATTGTGTGGAGCTGGCGGAGGAGGTGGTCGGGAACAGTGGGAACAGAGGACTGTGAGGATTTGACGGTGGATTGGAAGAAATTGGTGTTGGAGGAGAGATGGTATAGAGAGAGGATGTTTGTAGCTACCATTGCTACTAGTAGCAGCAGATTCAAGCTCATAGTGAATCCCGCCATTAACGTAGTAGCTTCTTCTTCCTCTTCCGAGGTCGGATCCAATTTCTTGAATCTCGAATTTTCCGGTTTCCTCACAGAGATTCGTAAAGAATCTGATTCTTAGGCTTTAATGGTGTCTTAAAGCCATGATTTAAGGGTTTTTTCAGGTTAGATTCTTGGAGGTAGTGACACTTAGAGAACTGCAAGATAAGCTTTGCATCTAGGAGACCCAGAAGTCAAATCTTGTAGAGATACAAACAGAGATCTGAGTGTGTATATGTTTATATTTTCAATTTTTCATTTTCATTTATCTCATAATTTACGATGGAAAAGGGCAGTATCGAATCCAATGTCATTATTAGTTTTCCCAAATTAATGCATGGGAGAGTAATAATCCTGGTGAAAAGTTGTTGGCACAGTAAATAAATTCTCTTTTCTGGTTTAAAAGCACGTAGAAACTTAACACATCTGTCTGATTGTTCACATGTCTTGTCTTTTTCTAAACTTTTTTTCAGTACTAGTTATGTCTTTTTATTGCAATAAAATGGCAATTGCTATGTATCTAAAATTAGAAGTATCACAAAGAAAGAAAACTTAGGATATTCGAGTTGTGATAAAAATAGAGGAAAATTTATTGAAGCACCAATCGAATGATTCACCCCCTATTGTCAATCAATTGAAGCACCAATCTTCCTTTTGGCAAACTCTCAGATCAAATGGATATGCCAATATAAGCAAGAGGTGCAAATCATGGATTTGATTAAGCAAAATTATCAGTCACAAAATTGACTATCACAGGCTAACAAATAGCTTCGATGAAGATGGATAAAATTGAACTAGAGGTTAATCAACAGATTACAAGTTAAATGTTATCAGCCAAATAGTAAATTAGAAAGCATATTAATCAGCCTAATCCACACAAACACTCTCTTATCAGTTATCTCCATTCATAATTCGAGTATTTTTAATTTTAGGATAAGGTTTCGCTTTTGTTAATGGTAAGAGATGATTCATGTTTGGTTGATTGACGATTGACGATTGACGATTGACGATTGACGATGATATTCATAAAGTTACTGCCATCGTTAATGACTTAATGGTAACCGCTAACTTACGCGGACACACGCGTGAATATATTCCCTCACACGTGTAGTTTTGTAGGCCGACATAAGAAAGGTGGCATCTTGACAACCTTCCCCTTTTCTCGAGTTTAAAAAATTAAAAGACAAACTTTCCAAAAATATCCAAGAAAAAAAGAGCATTTTTTTTTTTGTTTGGTTTGTGTCAATGCCGGAATCTAGCTCAAGCTTCTCGTCGTCTCTCACTCTCCTACTCATCATTTTCCTCTTCCTTCTACTATGCACATCGATTTCCTCTGCTGAATATGAGGTTCGTGTTTTGGATCGGGCGCTATTGGAGATCCGGAAAAATCCGACTAAAAAAAAGCCCAAGTGCTGCGAGATGCGAACCAGATCTCAGTGTTCGGATTACCCTAGATGCAGGTGGTGTCGAAGCGAAGCTCTCGACGACTTGTGCTTTGGTAAATCCGAAGCCTTGCGACTTCCAAGTCAAGTCTTCCTCTGTGAGTTATGAATTTAACAGATTATTCTTCAATAGGTTGGAGTTTTTGGTGGAGATAGATTGAGATAGAGAGAGAGAGAGAGAATTGTTTTCTTCTCAAATCTGGAGTTGTTGTAATTGCTTGTAGTATCACGAGTTTTGATTGTACTGGATCTTAATCCTCATATATCTGTTGGAAGGTGTGCTTCTTTATTGTTTCTTTCCTTTTTTTGCTTTAATTTTGAGGTATTGTATTCAATTTTCCTATTAAACTCTGATGGATTTGCGCTCACACTGTATGGTTCTTTACCCGAAACATAGTTAGAGAAATTATCGAAAGTGTGGGTATGCTTTTCAATTGCGCAAGAAGTATATAAATCTTGAAGCTAAATGCTTTGAGTAGTCAATCTTACTAACCACGTAAAAATTACGAGAGATAAAGAAAATAAAAATCTTGAAGCTAAATGCTTTGAGTAGTCAATCTTACTAACCACATAAAAATTATGAGAGATAAAGAAAATAAAGTTTACTTTTTTTTTCGTTTTATAATAAGTGTCGTTTTAGTTTTACTATATATTTTATGCTCTATATGCAATTCCATTTTTATGTTTTTTTATAAAACATTTATTAATTTTCTAATTTTCCAGTTCTTTAAAAAGTTTATTAGTACAAATATTTTATATTTAAAAAAAATTATTATATAAAATGAGATATGCATAATATGGTTATATATAATTTTAATATTACGTCTGTTAAATTCGTGATATATGAAAAAAATAAAAATAATTAAAAAATGTTAGAAACAAAAATAAAAAATAGTCTATTTAGTAAAAAGATTATATTTGTTATATTTTTATAGAAAAATGTTTTTCATTCTTTAAAATTATATTATCTTTAACACATTTTAAACTCAAAATAATATAATAAATAAAAATTTATTAGTAGATGAAATAAGATTTATAAACTAAATTTTCTATAACTATATGGAATAGGTTATGTGAACTCTTATAAATAGATAGTTAAAGTAATTTTCTTTCACTTACAAACTCATCAAAGCAAATTCATCAAATTTCTTTGATTATTTTTCTCTAAATTAAAAATTATGTCTTTGAGAGTTGAATAAAGAGTGTAGATTATTTGACTAAAAGTCAATTGGATTGAAATTGAAATTATCGTTATACTATAAACTATAGTACGTGTTATTCGAAAGTAAGAAGGTATAAATCTTAAAGAAAATAATATCTTTATGGAAATTAAACTTCTATTACTTAATGAAAATGTTAATAAATATACTCCATTTGTAATGAATATATATATATATATACTAAGATATATAGTTATAATATAGATTTGCATGACTTAATTTTAAGAAAAAAAAAAAAATATATATATATATACTAGGTGGTTGGCCCGCGCCAGGCGCGGACAAGAGATGTTTCAGAATTCCAATATTTTCAGTTAATATTAGATTAATGCATTTTCTTTTTAATTACTTTTCATATTTTTGTGATGTGTTTATTTTTCAAGAAAGTAATAACTTAATATTTTGTTAATTTGATATGAATATATAAATTAGTTAAATTTTGTAATAGTTGTTTTCTTCTCCTTCATATTTTTTTTCAGTGATTCCATCTTTTTTTTTTCTTCCATTTTTTTATTCGTTATCATCATCTATTTTCTGCTTTTTCTTTTTTCAATTGTGGTTCTTCAATTGTTTGTTTTTTGTCTTCATATCCTCCAACTTAATATTCTTCTTTTCTTTATAATTTTCTTTACATTCTTTTTCCGATTTTTTTTTCTTTTTCATAGCCCCCTCTTTATAATTGTCTTCTCTGACATCATCGTATTCTAGTTTTTATTTATTTCTTATTTGTCTTTTTCTCTTCACATTTAATTTTTTCTTCTTTTTTTTTTCTTTTTTCTCTTCGGGTTTTCTTTCTTCTTCTCGAAGTTTCTAATCTTCTTATCCACCATCTTCTTTTATCCAACTTGTGTATTTATTCCTTCTTGTCTACGTCTTTAACTTTATATAGTCGAGATCTTTTAAAAATTTATTTAATTTGTGTTGTTATCTTTTGATTATGGATTTGCTTTAATTGTTTTAATTTTTTTTATTTGTGAATATATTTTAGAAGGGTATATATAAATTTATAATCAGTGATTTTTAATTTTGATATACTTCTTTAATAATTTTTTTTTTAAATGCACCAGAAACTAAACCCTACACCCATCAATATAAACCCTAAACTCAAACCCCACATTATAAATCCCCTCTCCCCTGATTAAAAAACCCACACCCTAAATTTAAATCCACAATATAACTCTTTCATAAACCACACATGAACCTCATATTACAAATTAGTTCTGAATTTGCATCTATTTTTATTTTATTTATAAAAGTTATTTTTTGTAATGGTTGTTTTCTTCTTCCTTTTATTCTTCTCTAGTGGTCCCATCTTCTTCTTTTTTCTTCCTTTTTTCATTGGATGTCATCATTTTTTTTTCTGCTTCTTCTTCATTTTCCAATTTTTGTTCTTCAATCTTTCTTGTGTCCTCATATACTCCAACTCAGTATTCATCTTTTTCTTTCTAATTTCTTTACATTCTATTTTCTATTTTTCTTCTTCCTCATTCTCACACTCTCTCTACCTTTATCCTCTTCGTCTTTTCTGACATCATCTTGTTATAATTTTTATTCATCTCTTCTTATTCTTTTTTTTTTCACATTCCATTTTTTCTTCTTTAATTTTTTTTACTCGTGTTCAAATTTTTTTCTTCCTCACGAAATTTCCTATATCCTTTTCCATAGTCTTATTTTATCTTACTCATGTTTTTCGTTCTTGTCTACATTTTGTATTTCACTTATCAATTCATTCAATAATCTAGATTTTGTTAATTCAAAAATTCAATCAACTTTTAGATAAGCACATTTTATTTTTAATTAATTTTTATATTTTTTTGATGTGTTTATTTTTCAAGGAAGTAATTGCTTAACATTTTGTTAATTTGATATGAATTTATAAATTTTGAAAGCACCAAAAAATTAGTTAAATTTTTCAATGATTGTTTTCTTCTCCCTTATTCTTTTCCAATGATCCCTTTTTTTTCCTTCCGTTTTTATCTGTTGTTATCATTGTTTTTGCTTCTTCTTTTTCCAATTTTTTTCTTCAGTCCTTTCTTGTGTCTTCATATCATCCTCCATCTTACTATTTTTCTTTTTCTTTCTAATTTTCTTTATATTCTTTTTCCTGTTTTTCTTTTCTCTCTATCTTTATCATCTTCGTCTTCTCTGACATCATCTTATTCTAGTTTTTATTTATCTCTTATTCGTCTTCTTTCTCTTCTCATTTCATTTTTTTTCTTTTTCCTCTTCGAGTTTTCTTCTTCTTCTCGAAGTTTCTCATCTTCTTATCCACCGTCTTCTTTTATTCTACTTGTGTTTTTATTCCTTCTTGTCTACGTCTTATATTTCACTTATCAATTCATTCGATAGTTTAGATTTTCAAAGATTCATGAAATAGTTTTTATCTTTATATAGTCGAGATCTTTTAAAAATCATCTTAATTTGTGTTTTTATTTTTGATAATGAATTTGCTTTAATTGTTTTAGTTTTTTTTTTCTATTTGTAAGTGTATTTTAGAATGGTAAATATAAATTTATAATCAGTGATTTTTAATTTCGATATACTTCTATAATAATGCCAATTTTTAAAGATGCACCAGAAACTAAACCCTACACCCATCAATATAAACCCTAAACTCAAACCCCACATTATAAACTCCCCTCCCCTAATTAAGGAACCTACACCCTAAATTAAAATCCACATTATAACTCCCCCTCAAACGCACACATGAACCTCACATTACATATTAGTTCTCAATTTGCTTCTATTTTTATTTTATTTGTAAAAGTTTGTTTTTGTTTTTTTTTTGTATTGGTTGTGATTGTTTTCTTTTCCCTTTTATTATTCTCTATTGATCTCATCTTCTTCTTTTTTTCTTCCATTTTTTTATTCGATGTCATCATCTTTTTTATCTGCTTCTTCTTCATATTCCAATTTTTGGTTCTTCAATCGTTTCTTGTGTCTTCATATCCTCAACTCAGTATTCTTATTTTTCTTTCTAATTTTATTTACATTCTATTTCCGATTTTTCTTCTTCCTCATTTCCCCCCTCTCTCTATCTTTATCATCTTCGTCTTCTCTGATATCATCTTATTATAGTTTTTATTTATCTCTTATTTGTTTTTTTTTCTTCACATTCCATTCTTCTTCTTTGATTTCTTTTTCCTCGTGTTTAAATTTTCTTCTCCCTCTCGAAGTTTCTCATCTTCGTTTCCATCGTCATCTTTTCTCTTACTCACGTTTTTCGTTCTTTTCTATGTTTTGAATTTCACTTATCAATTCATTCGATAGTCTAGATTTTGTTAATTCACGAATTCAATTAATATTAGATTAACTTATTTTCTTTTTAATTACTTTTCATATTTTTGTGATGTGTTTATTTTCCAAGGAAGTAATAGCTTAACATTTTGTTAATTTGATATGAGTTTATAAATTGTGAAAGCACAAAATAATAGTTAAATTTTGTAATGGTTGTTTTATTGTCGTCTTATTCTTTTCTAGTGATCCCATATTTTCTTTTTTTTCTGCTTCTTCTTTTTCCAATATTTGTTATTGTATTCTTTCTTGTGTCTTCATATCCTCCAACTTACTAATCTTCTTTTTCTTTCTATTTTTCTTTATATTCTTTTTCCGGTTTTTCTTCTTTCTCATTCCCCTCTCTCTCTATCTTTATCATCTTCGTCTTCTCTGACATCATCTTATTATAGTTTTTATTTATCTCTTATTTATCGTCATTCTCTTCACATTTCATTTTTTCTTCTTTGTTTTCTTTTTCTTCTTCTTCTCGAAGTTTCTCATCTTCTTTTCCACCGTCTTATTTTATTCTACTCGTATTTCTATTCCTTCTTGTATACGTCTTATATTTCACTCATCAATTCATCGGATAGTTTAGAATTTCAAGGATTCGTAA